ACCGAACCCTATACCTAAACCCTAAACCCTAAACTCCAGAAGTGTGCCCCAAAACTCTATTGGACTCATAAATCCAAGGGCCACCGAGGCTTCCAGGGCGTTGGCACGGGCCTTCCGTGACACAGTACACCCTGATAGTTCTGAAGATAACAGAGGGTATAGTAATCACTGGCGCTAGTACCTACTGTACTACTATACTACTAAGTTACTATACTACTATACTACCATAGTAAGATACTGCTATATTACCGTACCACTATACAACTACACCACTATAGTACCCTACTACTATACTACGCTGCGAATCGCCTTCATCTAAAAACTGTACAACTTGCCGTGACGCCCTCAGCAATCGACTGCATTGAGGCCGGCGGCGACCTCGGCTGTCTTTCATGGGGTAATGTAAGGGCCTTAGTGATTAGAATAGTTTTTAGGGGTTTGGGGTTCAGGGAGTGTAAGGGCCCTAATCATTGGAATAGGGCTTCGGGGTTCTGTGCGTGTATACTTTTCCGCGAAGGAATAAGACTGGTAGCTACTCAGGCTTCTATGATAGCCTACCACGGCTGATGATATAAATCCTGCACTACCCACAATAAGGAATATACCATAATGTCCAGAGTTTAGGGTCCGTAGTGCAGGATATATATATATATATATATATATATATATCATCCACCGTAAGGCTTGGGGGGCCGAGGCGTCAGATCTTCGGGTGGAGGGTCTCAGGGTTCGGGGCTTAGGCCCCAAACCCTAAACCCTAAACCCTAAACCCTAAACCCTAAACCCTAAACCCTAAACCCTAAACCCTAAACCCTAAACCCTAAACCCAACCCTAAACCCTAAACCCAAAAGGTTAAGGTTTAGGCTTCGGTAGGTGTCATACAGCTGAGATCACACACACTTATCTAATCTTATCTACCCCTCGAGTGCTGTGAATGCTGTGTTGCTTGTGTAGCTACACCGTCCATCTCATGCAATAATGCTTCATTGCTCTTGAACCATCTACAGTCTGACCAACACAGATCATTAGCTTGGCTTGCTGACATCAGTGATGCCAGATATCAGAAATTGTGGTACGGGTACTCTCGTGCGTTTGCCATGATTATCATTCTGATGGCGACGATGCCTAGCACCGTCGCCAGCGTTTGGTAGTTGAGATGATGTCCTGAGGTTCGCAGACGACGGCATAAGGAGCAGCTTAGAGCTTTGGGCTACGGACACGGGGGACAGCACTCGACCTGAGCTTCTAGCAGACTGCGCACAGCTCCTTTCGACAGCAGCATGCGGGCCCGGTCGGGCCAGATCCATGGTCAAAGTGCTTCTGTGAATTACTGCGCAAAGCATGATACCGCAGAGGGTTTTCCGAGCTGTACAGAGAGCGCGCTGCTCTTCAATCCTCATAGGGCCCTTGGAAGGCGGCAATGTCCTTCAGAATCTTTGCCGCCTCCTCAGGCCCAATATGCTGCAGGCGGAGCATGTTATCCATAATGCACTGCACTTCATTGCTGACGGGCGCAGGTACCACAGGAGCTGGCTCTGGAGCGACAAAGCATCCTGGGCCCCAGCCGACTCCATCGCACATGGGCATCATCTGAGTAGAGCTCGGCATCATTGCGGTCATGGTTGCGGGCACCCTTTGAAATTCGGGTACCTGCTCTCCGTAAGCACGGTGGTAGAGATCCTCTCCGGCGATTTGGTATCGGTGAAGGAGATTCTCGCCACGGTGCACGTCGAAGTTTCGCCGGGAGCTCCAGCGTCGCCTGGCACTGTGGGTAAAACAAGCCGGGGACTTGGCAAGTCAGGACTCAGAGCATCTCAGGGCCATTTAAATGCAGCAGTATTGGATCAACAACTGTATAGCAACTAGCAAATCAAAAAGTGTGTGCGAATGCATCTTGCGAAGGCCTGCCATCGCCTGCTTGCCTCCACTGCCACTGGCCGCCATGGTCCCACTCTGCGCGGCGGCGGCGGCCACCGTACGGCATGGTCTCAAAGCACTCAGTCACTATTCGCTTGGACTACCACCTACAAGTACCTTTCGGCAATGCTGTGCTGACTGGAACGCAGCCCAAGTGCCAGCGGTTGCGGAGCACCGTTCCTCCTTGAAGCCCCGCCCTCCTCTGCCTGCAAAAAACAAACAGCGAGCAGTGCAAACAAACAGCAAACTGCTGCTGTTGCCTACTGTTCAGCAACATCGCGCGCCTAGATTTCCCCAAACCTTAACCCTAAGCCCCAAAAGTTGTGCGAAGAAACAAGCTTCTAGCAGACTGCGCACAGCTCCTTTCGACAGCAGCATGCGGGCCCGGTCGGGCCAGATCCATGGTCAAAGTGCTTCTGTGAATTACTGCGCAAAGCATGATACCGCAGAGGGTTTTCCGAGCTGTACAGAGAGCGCGCTGCTCTTCAATCCTCATAGGGCCCTTGGAGGGCGGCAATGTCCTTCAGAATCTTTGCCGCCTCCTCAGGCCCCATATGCTGCAGGCGGAGCATGTTATCCATAATGCACTGCACTTCATTGCTGACGGGCGCAGGTACCACAGGAGCTGGCTCTGGAGCGACAAAGCATCCTGGGCCCCAGCCGACTCCATCGCACATGGGCATCATCTGAGTAGAGCTCGGCATCATTGCGGTCATGGTTGCGGGCACCCTTTGAAATTCGGGTACCTGCTCTCCGTAAGCACGGTGGTAGAGATCCTCTCCGGCGATTTGGTATCGGTGAAGGAGATTCTCGCCACGGTGCACGTCGAAGTTTCGCCGGGAGCTCCAGCGTCGCCTGGCACTGTGGGTAAAACAAGCCGGGGACTTGGCAAGTCAGGACTCAGAGCATCTCAGGGCCATTTAAATGCAGCAGTATTGGATCAACAACTGTATAGCAACTAGCAAATCAAAAAGTGTGTGCGAATGCATCTTGCGAAGGCCTGCCATCGCCTGCTTGCCTCCACTGCCACTGGCCGCCATGGTCCCACTCTGCGCGGCGGCGGCGGCCACCGTACGGCATGGTCTCAAAGCACTCAGTCACTATTCGCTTGGACTACCACCTACAAGTACCTTTCGGCAATGCTGTGCTGACTGGAACGCAGCCCAAGTGCCAGCGGTTGCGGAGCACCGTTCCTCCTTGAAGCCCCGCCCTCCTCTGCCTGCAAAAAACAAACAGCGAGCAGTGCAAACAAACAGCAAACTGCTGCTGTTGCCTACTGTTCAGCAACATCGCGCGCCTAGATTTCCCCAAACCTTAACCCTAAGCCCCAAAAGTTGTGCGAAGAAACAAGCTTCTAGCAGACTGCGCACAGCTCCTTTCGACAGCAGCATGCGGGCCCGGTCGGGCCAGATCCATGGTCAAAGTGCTTCTGTGAATTACTGCGCAAAGCATGATACCGCAGAGGGTTTTCCGAGCTGTACAGAGAGCGCGCTGCTCTTCAATCCTCATAGGGCCCTTGGAGGGCGGCAATGTCCTTCAGAATCTTTGCCGCCTCCTCAGGCCCCATATGCTGCAGGCGGAGCATGTTATCCATAATGCACTGCACTTCATTGCTGACGGGCGCAGGTACCACAGGAGCTGGCTCTGGAGCGACAAAGCATCCTGGGCCCCAGCCGACTCCATCGCACATGGGCATCATCTGAGTAGAGCTCGGCATCATTGCGGTCATGGTTGCGGGCACCCTTTGAAATTCGGGTACCTGCTCTCCGTAAGCACGGTGGTAGAGATCCTCTCCGGCGATTTGGTATCGGTGAAGGAGATTCTCGCCACGGTGCACGTCGAAGTTTCGCCGGGAGCTCCAGCGTCGCCTGGCACTGTGGGTAAAACAAGCCGGGGACTTGGCAAGTCAGGACTCAGAGCATCTCAGGGCCATTTAAATGCAGCAGTATTGGATCAACAACTGTATAGCAACTAGCAAATCAAAAAGTGTGTGCGAATGCATCTTGCGAAGGCCTGCCATCGCCTGCTTGCCTCCACTGCCACTGGCCGCCATGGTCCCACTCTGCGCGGCGGCGGCGGCCACCGTACGGCATGGTCTCAAAGCACTCAGTCACTATTCGCTTGGACTACCACCTACCTTTCGGCAACGCTGTGCCGACAGGAATGCAGCACAAGTGCCAGCTGCCAGCGGCTGCGGAGCAGCGTTCATCGTTAATTACATTCATTTGAAGCCCCGCCGTCCTCTGGCGGCAGGAACAAAAAGCAAAAGCAAACTATTGCTAATAACAGCAACATCGTGCGAAGATCAAAGATGACATCCGGTCAACCGCACATTCGACGCACTTCACCCTAGATTCCCCCAAACCTCAACCCTAAACTCAAATCCCTAATCCCATACACCCTGCACCCCAAATTCCTCTGAACCACAACACCCCTTCTTTTGAACTCTTCGCATCTGCCGTTGCCTGTGTTTGCAGACGGCAGGATCGGCACGGCCGGGAGGCGGGCCGCAGAAATGAGGCTTAGCATCCGGAAGCTGTGATCAACGAACTATGCTTGCAGAGGCGACTCTTCTATATTACTATATTACTATATTACTATATTACTATATTACTATATTACTATATTACTATATTACTCATATTACTCATAGTACTCATATTACTCATATTACTATATTACTATATGACTATATGACTATATTACTATATTACTATATTACTATATTACTATATTACTGGCATAGCTAGTACGAAAAGCAAGACAGGACTAGAGCCTGCTAAAAAAGCCTCCAAATTCCGCGGCAGCAGGGCTTCAGCTTCCAGACCTCTAGATTTTAGGAGCTCAGGGGCGTCGGGGGCTTTAGGAGCTCAGGGGCGTCGGGGGTTTTAGGAGCTCAGGGGCTTCGGGGCTTTTGGGAGCTCAGGGGCTCCGGGCCAAGACAGAAGGTCTGACATTTTGGGTCTAGGGTTTCGTGTTTGGGACCTCCCATTGTAGACTTGGTAAGCTCCAAACCTAACTGACCAGAGGTCCGGCGCTGAAGCTCCCTCAGAGCCGGCTATGTACAGGTGCCCTACGCCCATCACAGGCTGCACGGCTTCTTGCGAAAATGCAGCGTGATAGGTCCAGTTGATCCGTCCTTCGACACAAAGGACAACAACTTTCATAGTTGTTCACTTTTAAGAAACATAGTCGTCGCTAAGACGTAACTACTCGCAATCGCCCCCCTAAATCCTAAACCGTCATTATTAATTATTAAACCTCGCGCGCTCATCTCTGTCTTTGACCTTTTCGAAACCTATCATTGCTGTAGGGGCTCACATGTCACACGCACCCCAAAGCACTAAACCCGAAAGCCCTAAAACCATAAACCCCAAACTCTAAACCCTAAATAATTCAACCCCGACCCCAATTGAAGCCCTGAGCCACGAAACCCTTAAACCCCTACACCCCTAAACGCCTAAACCCTAAACCCCCAAACCCCTAAACCCCCCTAACCCCTAAAACCAGACCCCTCGGCAGTGGTCCTCGTCCAAGAAGTCACCTGTCAGACTTTGTTTTGGGGATCTTTCCGCCGAGCCGCACAGGGTTTAGGGCTTAGGGGTTTAGGGTTTAGTTAGGGCCGAGGGGTTTAGGGTTTAAGGCTTAGCTTTCGGGTTCGCATCATACAACAAGAAGCTACATTCGATATCCAACAAAGCTCGAACGCAGATCCCGAGCCTTATGATGGCAGCTGCTCATCTTAGCGTGGCGAATACATGGCCCTGCTGCGCATGAATAGAACAAGATAATGTGGCACATCATGGGATCACCGAGGCGCTTATCTACTCCTCGCGGATCCTCTCTTAAGGCAGGTTCACTCCCACAAGCTGGGTGGGTAGGCTCGGCCTGAGAAGTCACGCACCTGCCGAAAGCCTCTCCAGAGATTGGAAATGATACATATATATATATACACACTTGTTGTTGTTATATATGTATACATAGATATATATATATATATATAATATATTGATATTGTTTACATTATGAATTTCTGCAATGCTTGTGCTACCGAACGGCGCAGGGTGGCGTCCAGCGGCGCCAGGAAATCATCGATAAGCACCTGGGTAAGGGGCCAACTTGGAGTCCTTATCCTGAGGATCCTGCTATGACCCTAGCCAAACCCTAAACTTCATGTAGGAACCTGATTAAGAAACCCTGGGCCTTAAACCCCAAATATCAAAGGATTCATATAAGGAACCTTTACCTAATATCAAAAGATTCATACAAGGAACCTTTACCTAATATCAAAAGATTCGTATAAGGAACCTTTACGTAATATCAAAAGATTCATATAAGGAACCTTTACCTAATATCAAAAGATTCGTATAAGGAACCCTAATAAAGGCCCAAGGTTTCTTAACCAGCTTCCTACGTTGTTATAGTACCCAAAATAGATCCCTTATAGTACCCTTATAGATCCCTTATAGTACCCTTGTAGATCCCTTATAGTACCCTTATAGAACCCTTATAGTAACCGTTATAGAACCCTTTAAAGGAACCCTAAGGTTCCTACTTTGCCCTGCTTCGGGTCGAAGCCCGCCATGCTGGGCCCCCGAAGCTGAGATCCTCGCCCTAGGTATACCCCCATTTGGGGGTTTAGGGGTTTAGGGTTTAGGGTTTAGGGGTTTAGGGTTTAGGATTTAGGGGTTTGGGGTTTAGGGTTTAGGGTTTAGGGGTTTAGGGTTTAGGGGTTTAGGGTTTAGGGTTTAGGGGTTTAGGGTTTAGGGTTTAGGGGTTTAGGGTTTAGGGTTTAGGATTTAGGGTTTGGGGTTTAGGGTTTAGGGTTTTAGGGGTTTAGGTTTAGGGTTTAGGGTTTTTTTAGGGTTTAGGGTTTAGGGGTTTAGGGTTTAGGGTTTAGGATTTAGGGGTTTGGGGTTTAGGGTTTAGGGTTTAGCCTTTTCGAACCCTCAGAGGAACCCTGAGCACCTTTTTTGCAACCCTTACAGAACCCTAGAAGGAAACCCTTATTGCAACCCTTATCGAAGCCTGAGAAACCCTAAAAGCAACCACTGCAAGCCGAAAAGCATCCCTTATAGGACCCGGCTCGCAACCCTTATTGTAGAACTTAGTTGCTGAGTTCATAATCCCAAAGTAAACTTCAATTCCATAGGGGATGTAACTAGTCCAAATGGTGTGACGTGAAAACCTTCACAGTAGCCCTTATCGAACCCCTTGCTATGGAATCCTTGCAAAAACCCATGTCGAACCGTTATTTTGGAAGCCTTGTAGATCAAACCTTGTAGTGTAACCCTGCTAGAAACCTTATAGCCCTCAATACTATCGAACCCTTATAACCCGTGCATGTTACCTATGGTTATAGAGCCCTTATAACCCTCATAGAAGCAGGATCTTTGCAACCTGCACTTTTATAGATAGAACCCTTCGGACCCTTATTACTACAGAACCCTTATAATACCCCTCGCCTTGTGACCCTCATTGCTTACTACAGAACCTTGTTATAAGAAACCCTTAAGCCCTAAAACCTAAACGCCTTAAACCCTAAACTCCAAACTCAAAGCCCTAAACCCTTAAACCCCAAACGTTAGACCCTAGACCCTAACCCCAAATAACCTACCTTTTTAAGGACTTATATAAAGAAATCAGATTAGGGAGCCCTCACAAAGGTAGGTTCCTTATAGACCCCAAACCCTCATTTCTTTTCAACCCCCTGCCTCCATCGGAGGCCTCAAAAGCTGGGATGAAGGAAGGTAGGAGGTAGGACTAAGGATCCCTTATAGAAGGACTCTTATTTGGGAATATCCCACTTACCTTCAACCCTAAACCCTAATCCCTCAACCCTGATCCCTAAACCCTAAACCCTAATCCTTAAACCCTAATCCCTAAACCCTAAGCCCCTAAACCCCTAAACTAAACCCCTAAACCCTATTCCCTAAACCCTAAACCCCTAAACCCTAAACCCTTAAACCCTCATTTCTTTTCAACCCCCGCCTCCAGCTCCATGGGTCGAAGATCACCCGGAGCTTTCGTCTCCTGAGCTTGGGAGGTGCGCGGGGAAAGAGGGTTTTTTGGGTATGGGCCCTAGGTATACCCCCATTTAGGGGGTTTAGGGGTTTAGGGGTTTAGGGGTTTAGGGCTTTGGGTTTAGGGATTTAGGGTTTAGGGTTTAGGGCTTTGGGTATATTAGGGTTCTTTTAAAGGGGTCTATGAGGGCTACTGTAAGGGATACTATAAGGGTACTATAATAGAGTCACTATTACAGGGTGGGGGCAGCTTCTAAGGTGTGGGCTCTAGGGCTCAGGGTCCAGGGTTTAGGTTTTACGCTTTATGGTTTGGGATTTAGGTTTTAGGGGTTAGGGTTGAGGTTTTAGAGTTGTGGGTTTTTTTTAGTGTTCAGGGCTTAGAGCTTAGGGTTTCAAGTTTCATCCCATGCAGGTTTTTTCAAGCTGCAGGGTCATGATAGAGTCGCAGGATTTAGGTTTAAGCCTTGGGGCCTTATTGTTCAGGCAAATAGCTACCTGGTGGCCAAGGCCCGACACCCTAAACCCGTAAAACCCTATACACCCCAAACTACGGAGCAAGGCCGCAGGCCCCAGACCCCAAATTGGGACCCCAAACTCCCTAACCCAAAATCCTAGACCCTAGACCCTAAACCCCTAAACCCCTAAACCCTAAACCCCTAAACCCTAAACCCCTAAACCCTAAACCGAGGAAGCTCGTGCTCTAAGCTAGGGAAGCTGGGCATCGATGAGTTCGGCCATGGTCATGGTGTCCCGCAGAAGCAGCTTGTCCGTTTCTCCATCCGGGCGGACGGCGAAGACTTTCACCAACTTGCCCTTCGAAGGCCTGGCTTCGTCCTGGGAAGTGTAGGGGTTTAGGGCTTAGGGTCTAGGGGTTTAGGGTTTAGGCTTTAGGGCTTAGGGCTTCGGGTTTAGGGGCAAGGCGTTCCGGGTTTCGGGGTTTAGTATTGCACGGATCTGGGTCGGGGTCCGACAAGGTGCTAGATCATGTACGAGTTATCACCGAAGCAGTGGCCGTAGCAGTAGCAGCAGAAGTAGCAGAAGCAGCAGAAGCAGCAGTAGCGGTAACTGTAGCAGTAGAAGCAACTAGTGAGTAGTAACTAGTAAGTAGAAACCTGAGCGTAGCAAGTTCTGTAGTATGTAGTAACTTAGTGGCTCGGAACGAGTGAGAGTAGGCCATACGAAACCAGTAGTAGTGGTGGTAGTAGTAGTAGTAGTAGCAGCAGGAGTAGTAGCAGTAGAAGTAGTAGTAGTAGTAGAAGTAGTAGTAGTAGTAGTAGCAGTAGTAGTAGTAGTAGTAGTAGTAGTAGTAGTAGTAGTAGTAGTAGTAGTAGTAGTAGTAGTAGTAGTAGTAGTAGTAGTAGTAGTAGTAGTAGTAGTAGTAGTAGTAGTAGTAGTAGTAGTAGTAGTAGTAGTAGTAGTAGTAGTAGTAGTAGTAGTAGTAGTAATAGTAGTAGTAGTAGTAGTAGTAGTAGTAGTAGTAATAATAGTAGTAGTAGTAGTAGTAGTAGCGGTAGTAGAAGCAGCTCCTAGACAAGTCACGGCCAACGATGGCTGGCGAAGGTTTGGCGCCAGTCGAGCTCCAAAAGGCAGCAGGGTGTAATGGGCTTTAAGGCTTTAGGAAAGGATGATTTTGGGAATGACGGAGAATAACCCTGAATATCAGCTGCTGCAATGCCTCACACCAACTGGAATCTTCCGTTGTGTAGAAGATCACGCTTAGCCCAAATGCCATGGGCAAAGAAAGACACGCCACGTTCCCGCAGGGCAAGTCGCACTCTGACCCCTTATCCCATAAACCCTCAAGCTCGCTGCACGCCTGGGATGCCTCCCTTCGCCGGTTTCAACTTCCCAAACTTCAAAAACAACCGCCACGAGCCAAGACCTTCAAAGCTAAGCCTAAAACTAGTCTAGGTTAAGGGTTAGCACGGACACGGCACCGGCTTCGCCGCTTTCCAAGGCTTCCTTGTGCGACGGAGGGAGTGCAAGCGGCAGAGCACACTACGATAGTGTTTTGTAGTGCATTGGCGAATAATAAGAACTTCTTCCTACTGTAACAGAACTCTTCTATGGTCGTCTAGGCTTTTTGCGGGGGTGTTTGTTTTGGTTGTTCGTGTACCGGCAGTTCGAAGTGGCTGTATACATACCTCTGTACGACAATGCACAACTCTACATGACTGTACAAGCCCATGTATACACTATGCACACAAACACGACTTCTGTATCTGTTTGCATGTGTAGGCATCTTACGTATGCGTCCGTGAGAATGTCAGAGTGTGTGCATGCGTATGCAGGTATGCATGCATTTACGCATGTATGTGCGTATGTACTCCTGTACATAACTGTACGTACAGCAACTGTACATAACTGTACATATGTATGCGTACATACATGCATACATACATTCATACATACACATGCACACAAACATACACATACGCATACACATACATACACACATACGCACATACACACATACACACACACAAACACATGTGCATACGCATACACACACACATACCCACATGCACACACACACACACACATACACCCATACACACATACACACACACACATAAACACATACAACGCATACACACATACACAGAAACACACATACAACACATACACACATACACATACGCATATACACATATACACATACACATGCGCGTTCACACATCCACATACACATACACACACAGAGACATGTGTGTGCCCGTGCCGCTACACACTCAGCTGCCGACAGCGCTTGGGCCGCGTCGACGATGCGCGACGGGTTTCCTTCGTAGTCTCGCATCCAGGGAAGCTCTGCGAGGACCTGTACCAGGGAGCATCTTTGCAGCTGCAGGGGAAAAGCGGGACCTGAATGAGTACAAGAATAAGGTTTTGGGTTACAAGAAACAAGAGAGTGCTAACTTAGTGCCATGGCCTAACGGCCTAACAAGACCAGGGCTCGCAGACCCTAAGGTGAGCTCTGCTTTTGGAAGAGGAAACCGCAAGAGAGGGTAGGGAGCCAGGCCTCCCGGAGCCCCAAAGTTGTATTCCGGTATGTCACAGTATAGCTTGTGGTATGCTGTAGTATACTCTCCTACATTATGGTATATCATCCAGCATGAGGGTGTATTATCGCAGATTATGACGGTTGAAAGACAAGTAATGCGAAGTTTTGCGCCTGCGATACATGAGGCATACAACACTCTGTCCCTGACACCTAACCTACATCCAGTAACAATCTTACACCCGACACTCCTCCTCAAACCTTGAACCGGCAGGCATCCATCGCCCGTGCGGTGGCACTTAACAGTGGCACTCTGCTTGGAAATGCAAAACGACAGGGTTTGGAGTTTAGAGTCGTTGAACTCCAACGCTTCTCACCAACCAGTCTAGACTCCGTTCACGCAGGCACCCCACGGAATTGCCACCACATTTATGGATCCTGTTTGTACTGAACCCCCCTCAGTAGGTACCTGGAAGGGAACACGGAACAACCCCCGCAGAGTATAAAATCCCGCCCAGAACCGCAACTAATGACTGACCAAGATTCCCGTGACCTGGCTCAGCCGTCTTCGACCCCAAACCTTTTTCAAAGGGGAAAAGGAGGGACCCTTCATGGGGACCCCTACCCTATAATGGGCCATATAATGTGTATACACTAGCTATATTAAGGGTATATACCTAGGGGTCCTTATTAAGGGTCTCTCCTTTTACCCTTGGACTTTTGTCTCCACACCCCTTTCTTCCCAATACCTAAACCCTCAACAAGAATGAAATCTGAAACAAGAGTTGTAGTATCCTTAAGGGATTCCTTATACCCTCCCCAATTGAACCACCCTCCCTTAAGGATCCTATAAAAGAGCAAAACTCTAAAACCAAGAAGCTCCTCCAAAATCTCGACAAGGCCCTCTGAACCTGACCTCAACATCTACATCCTGAACCTGCAAACTCCTTAGCGAGAAAGCCCCGAGCTCGGCAACCCGAACCCCTACACCTAAACCCTGCAAACCCCATAACTTGGCCATTCAACCCTAAGCCCCTAAGCCCTTGAATCAAATGATCCTAAACCCAAGAAAGCGCCTAAACCGAAACAAAAAAGCTAAACCGAACAGCTGGGTCGCCCGCCATGAGATCCCCCAACGCTTGCCCAAAGCCCTCGGCGATCTTTGGCGGAGTGCTGGGCGCGTTGGCTCCTGGCTGTGCGGAAAGGACCAACAACTCAGGAAGTAATGTAGAGGCCCTAATAATTAGAATAGAGTCTCTGGGAATATGTCCCTAAATCCTATGTCCTATGCTAAGTATTCAGGTAAGTACCGCTCAATCTCAGCATCCGGAACGCTCACGTGTCCTACTGACAGCACTGGGTCCGAAGCATTGAACATCAGGTCGAGACGGGGCTCCTACTTAAGGGATCATGGGACCTACAGGGTTCCTTAAAGGGATCTATAGGGTTCCTTAAAGGGATCTATAGAGTTCCTTAAGGGATCTATAGGGTTTAGGGTTTCGAGTCTACTTGGAGGATCATGGGACTTAGTAAGTAAAGCTATAAGTACTCTAAGTGGGGATATAAGTAGTTATAGGTACAGTTACCTTAACTATAACCCTAGTTGCTAAGTCCCATGATCCTTTAAGTACTTAAGGGCTGTGCCGAAGATGGGAGCTTCAGCGACTGAAGTACACTCACGGGTTTAGGTCTTAGGAGTTTCGGGGCTGGGGACCGATAAGCATGAAACCACAAACACGTCAAGGCAGCCTCACGGTGCCCTCCAAGGCGGACTGTCGCAGGCTGCAAAAGAACTAGGCAAAGGCCACATTGGACCGTTACGGCATACCCCGAAACAAGGAGATTAATGCCCTGCAAGCATTCAACACAAATCCGAAACGAACATCTGTGAACAGACCATTTCCGAACCCTGAAAACCCTGGAACTGTGCGTCTCCTGTTGAATCTGGCCGAAAAACAAATCTCTAAGTTCCGAGTTCTGGTTTGGGGACACTCAAACCTAACTGTCATGCACCGCCTCTGACTCCCGAAACCCAGAACGTTAAAGCCCAAAGCCTCAACCCGAAACCTAAATCCCACTTGGTAAGTCCTAAACCGCTAATGCCAAACCAAAAAAGTCAAAAGACTCGCCTGGATCCTCTGCCAACTCGAAGTCGTAGAGGGGCCGGGCCGCACGGCAAAGGAACAGGCGCGCCTCTCTTCAGCCACTTTAGGGTTCTCAGAACTCTGACTAAGGCCTCAAAGTTTGGGCAGCCGGGGCCAATGCTTTAATTCAAGGAACTGCGCCTTGACGTACAGGCGTGGGAGTTAAGAGCTTCAGGTTTAGAGCTGAAATGTTTAGGCAATTGATGTCTTATTGCTGCATAACTAGACCAACCCTTTTCTCTGTCAGGAGGGTTTTAAAGACCGACAAAGTTGAATCTATCAAGTCACTGTCATGACAAAGAATGCGACCACGCAGACTTCTTTGCGCTGCGCAAAGAAACAGTCCTACTGCAGTCACTTCGTAGCTTTTCTTCGAACATCCGCCCGGGCAGTGGCAATGCCGGAAGGCTCAACGGCTCAAGTTGAAAGGTTAGCCGCGCCCCTAGGAACTGAGCCGTAGCCATGGAGAGCTGCACTCGGTATGACTTGGGGCCCCACCTGACCCTGCCGACTCGATGTCCAAAAAGCGGAACAACAAATCTCGGAGCAGGCAAATCAATAGAACCGACGATGGCCTACCTGGCATTCAACAGCACACCTGGACATCGGTCACTCGGCCTTATAATTCCTAACTTGTTCAAACGCCTTCTTTCGGCTGCTTGGGGCCCCGTTTTAACAGTCAGCAGGTGCCTCAACTTGTTTCAATGCCTATATGCAAGTTAGCATGGGAACGTCTTTCTACTTCGCGCGGGGCCCTATCGCGCCGTGTTACCATATCAAAACCGTTGGCGATCAGCACCTGTGGCCTCAGCAGCACGACCGCTTGGCACAATACAGTAGTATGTGTAGTAGCCAGAACCGTCACTGCCGCTGGCATAGGCTCCTGCCTGCTCTACACCAGGTTTGGCCACCTTGTAGTGGCAAGGTGTGTATTGATCCTGGTGTCGCCGTCGCATACACTGTTCATAAGCTGATGGTGTCGGAAATACCTCATCAGTCAACATGACCCACAGATAATCGCCCTTCTTAATAGAAGTGCGCACCTTTGTGAGGTTTGCGCCTGCCCGCTTCGCTGCATACAACTCCATGCAGCATGGTGCGCTTTGAAAGAAAACGGGACCCCCTTCCAAGACCAGTACACCGAATCTGGTGTCCAGTGCATCCTGGGCATACTTGTGCCACCATTCATCAGCACCCCAGCCGCCTGTCAGGTACAACATTATGCCAAAAAACGGCCGCTTCGCAAGTTTCAAGATGCCAGTGCAATGATCGAAACCTTAAGCCTTCAACCCGGAAAGCAGACACCTGCAAGCGGAACTGGCTGTAATCACTTACCCACGTCATGCTTCAATCGCCTTGCAGGGAATTGTCGGCACAGAGCTTGAATCCTTCGCGCATCACGGCCACAGCGATCTTGTCAGCGAAGTCTCTCTGCAGGTTTGTACGTGAGAGAATGAAGTCTGCCTGACGTCAGTCAGATTGCAGCCAACACTTGCAAAAAATCTAGCTTACCAGCCTGTTTGCAAGATACTTATGGCTATGCAGGCTTTCCCTGGGCACCTCCTTTGCCCGCGTCACCAGCATGTTCTGAACGTCAGGCGCAATGTTGCGGATCCGTTCGGCAAAGCTCATGCCCGTGGCAACGTCGGCGGACACACCTGCGACATTGCCCAGAAGCCGTGGCACCACATTCTGGGGCAACAGCGCTGCCAGCCTCGCCGGGTCCTGTCCTTTCACAACGGTGGACACAGCATTGGCGACGTCATCTACAAAACTTGACGAGTTTGCGGCATTCGCTATGTGAGCGACACCTTGTGCAGCTAAGCCGGAGAATGCCCCGATGGCAGCAGTACGTGCGAGCTGCTTTGCATTTTCCGTGGAGAGGACGTCCTCGCTGGTTTTTGCATTCGTGATGTTTTTTTGGACTGACTCTCCCAGCCAGCCCTTTGTCACAGCGACGTCCACACCATCTGATATCAGCTTTGCTGCTGTGGTTGTGCTGGCTCCAATTCCTGCCGCTGCAATGTAGGCACCGGCACCGGCACAGCCTGCAACAGCACCGGCTCCAGCAACTGAGATTGCTCCTCCTGCTAGTCCAACGGCCGCTCCGACGCACAACTCCTTGGTATACTCTTGCCAGCTGCAGTCCTCGTCTCGCCACATAGCCACGGAGCCCTTGACCCCCGCCATGAACAAGGCACTTCCTGCATAAGCAGCAGCCAGAGAGAGACCTCCTGTCTGGAAAGCGGCCAAGCCGCCACAACAAATCAAAGTAGCCCCACTCACCATGGCGGCAACGTTGATACCCCAACGGAGATACCAATCCTTGTAGCTCCAGGTACCGGCTTGCTTTTGAAGCTCGCGGTCGTAGCGCCTTTTAAGGTCTGGGTCGAGGAGGACTTTGCGAGCATACTGGATCTTCACGGTCATGATCTCACATTCCGCCTTTCTTTCCGGTGGATTCTTATCAGGATGCCACTGGAGCATGAGGTCGTGGAACCGCATGCTGATCTTTCTGGGGTCTTTTATTTCGGAGTAGCGGCGCAAGCTGAAGAGGGCATAGAAATCTTCAGCATCTGCATAGCGGCTTTGCCCTGGCGCAGTTACGAGCTCCTCGCTCGACTTCACCTGCATCAGATCCTATACTAGACCCCGACGACCTCGCCCCATGAAACACACTCTTCGAGAAGCGAATACTTTCAAAACTCATAAAACCTGACACAGCAGTTCGATGCCTGGCTGCTGGCGTTGCCACCCATGGAGCTTGGTGGCCGTGCTCTACCACTACTCTAGCGGGAACCTCCAAAACGGCTGCCAGAATGCTCACTTCGGGATGTCCTTCCGTCGACAAGAGCTGGGCATGAGAGGTCAGGAATTCCTCCACCTGTCGTTCCTCTCAGGCACCCTTGCGCTTCCAGACAGAGGGTTGTTGAGGGTAGAAGTTCACATGGTTGAGCAAAGATTTGGAGGAGGTGCCAACCTGAATGGTGTCTTGCCATGGCTTTAGCGTTTGATCTCGAAAGCATGACTCCATAAACATCCCCTTCCGGAGATCTTAGGGTGTGGGGATGTCTGGGGCACACTCCTAAACCCTAAACCTGGTGCAGGCCTGTGCAAGAGGCTGAAGAGGGCCCAGCTCCATCTTCGTCGGCTTCACGTTGAGGCTGCCTGCCGGCCGAATCCAGAAGAAACGTAGGTTCTGAAACTATGTAAAGACAGCTGACACAAGATTATCGGGGTGCAGGGTTTAGGCTTTAAGGTCTGGGGATTGTGTACCCTAGAGGGGTTTGACCGATCGAAAGAACGCACACAAAAACAATCACTACAACCATGCAAACTCCACACACACACACACTGCTAAAATCCTTTCGAGGGCTTCAACCCGATAGGCAAACTAAAGCCCTAAAACTAGTGAATGCCGAAAGCTCTACACCCTGAAGTCTAACGTTAAATTCAACACCACAACGCAAAAAGACGCGCGTAGCGCTGCTAGACCAAACTTGCGCGGCCTGGTGGGCCCCGGGCTCTGCCCTTTGCGTTTGACAGAGCCGGAAACATGGAAGCTCTAAGGTTGAAACCATGGGCCCCCATAATAATTAGGGGAATAGGGTTCCTTTGAAAGGGATCTATAAGGGTTACTATAAGGGATCTATAAGGGTACTATAACATAGGGGCCTAAATAGTTACCTATGCTATTCTGGGGGCTCCTTACTATCATTATGGTATAATGGGCCCCAAAACCCTAGTCTAATTATTAAGGCTCCTATAGTATGGGCCCTGATTCCTGGGATCCGTATATACCTGCTATATACCCTTTATGTACCCTGTAAGGTCTCTTGAAAGGACCAGGGGCCCATAGTAGGGGTGCATACTTCTAAATCTTGGGAAGCAAGGTTCCCTGAATCCTGAACCCGATGTAGACCCCGACCAAGCCCTAAACCCCCAAACGGTTCGCCCCGGCCTAGCTGGTCCTTTAGATTCGGGGAGGCATCTGCCACCTCCAGTACCAGCCGAACCTGAAAACAACACCCGGGGGGTGGAGGGGTGCGCTTGTGGTCCCCTTCCATGGGGCCCCTACTTGTCCTTCTACTAGTAGTTTTCTTTTAATTATAGGGCTCCTTGTTCTGGGTATAATTGAGGAAGCTCCAAACCGTATTCTCTTTATTCGTGAGTTTGGGCACTGAACCCACACCCTGGACCCACGAGTGCAGGCCTTAGGTTGAAGGCGTGGGGTTCAGGGCTTCAGAGTGTCGTGCGTTCGGGTCTTGGGCTTCGAATATCCAGAAGTGCACCCTGCAGCCCAAACACTAAACCGTGCTTGGGTTATGGTTTAGGGCTTAGCGTCTCCAGGGTTGAGGCTTCTGAAGGGTTCGTGGTACGAGTTGCAACGATGAGAATCACGAAAGGGAATGTCCCTACAGCGTACGCAGTAGTTGCCCGGACATAGGGGCCTCACTGATCGGAGTAGGCTTTGGGGATCTGTTATACTCTGGCTATAATAAGGAACCCAGGCACAACAGTGGTAAGTATTCCCTAAACCCTAAACCCTCTTCTACATTGGCCACCCATAAGCAATAGCTGCGAGAGGCCTTCGGAGTCCCGGAGCCGTTAATTGAAGGATCCGGTTTAGGGTTCAGGGTTTTGGTGTTTTAGGGTTCAGGGTTTTGGGGTTTTATAAGGTTCAGGGTTTTAGGGTTTAGGGCTTCAGGGCTTTAGGGTTTTAGGGTTTAGAGTTCAAGGTTTAAGGTTTATGGCTTGAGGTTTAGGGTTTAGGGCTTTGTGCTTAGGGTTTTGGGCTCAGGGCGCCTACTTTACAAGTCCTTGTCATCTCTGGGAACTCCCGCAAAGTGATTCCTCTTTTCTTGTCAAAGAACCTTAAAACCCTGAGCACATCTACATACACCAGCCCATAAAACGTGCGAAGCATCAACCCTGAAAGCCATCACGGCCCTGAAGTTCAGGCCCTTTAGGCCCGCAGAGCCTTAAAAACCGATTCAGCCCTTAAAGCCAAAACATCTTGGACTCCTTAACAAGCGCTTAGCAACCTTTTAACAGACCCCTCAAACCCCTAAATCGAAATCCTTACTTAGAGGATCATGGGACTTAGTAACTAGGGTTATAATGAAGGTAACTATACTTATAATTACAAATAACCCCACTTAAGGTACTTATAACCATACAATCCTGAGTCCGACCTTCGCGTTGGCCTCCAGGAGCTGTTTCAGAGGCAAATTGTTGGAGGAGACGCTGGGCACATCGGCCAGTACCAGTAGACTCGGGTCCTGGCTCAGAAGGAAGGGTAGGACAATGCTATTGCTGTGCTTCCTACTGCCACGCGTGACTTCTACTGTCCTTACATTACGGTTCTTACATTCCTCGCGGTCTAGGCGCATTCTTGTGGCACTTCTTTGGTAGTATTGTGCAGCGTGCATCATTACTCTCGACTTCTGTTGCCGTGATATGCTGTAGGCTGTAATCAGTCCTGATGTGGGGGACTGTGCGGCTGCTTTGCGGCTGCTGTGCTGAAGTTTCCACGTTCAGACCACCACGAGGTTCGGGTTGGGCTTGCAAGATTTGCGACGCAAAGATTTCACGTCCGGTCGGAGTCGATGACTTGGGGTTAAAGTCTGAGGTTCCGGGTTCAAGAGTTGGCTCGTCAGGATCTGGAAGATTAGGGCACCCTAAACCCTAAACCCTACCTTAAGCCGGAATAACCTACTTTGTTAAGGACTTATATGAGGAAATCATAATAAGGAACCCTAAAAAGGTAGGTTATTCCGGCTTGAGGTAAGCCATGAACCCCTAAAGGGCGCATGTAAGGTGCTATGGGGAGCAGATCAGGCGGACGCTCGCCTGCAACTCCTGCAACGCGCGCAAGAGATCTTGCAGGTTCTCCGAGATCTTGCTTGGGATATCACCTAGCATCATGGGTTGCTCCACATGAAACAGTTTTCTGCATCCCATTCTGCCCTACATCGAAAGCTTTTATCAGCAGCAAACACCACCCCCCATGAGCCGTTATCAAGACCTGTAAACCCTGCTCAATAAAGCCACACCAACCTCTGAACCCCCTCAAAGTAGAACCGTATCATCACTTCGGAGCTCAGGGGTCGGGATCAGGGAAGGCCGGACTCATGATAGCAGGGCCAGACACCGGTCTTTAAGTTGCTTATGGTCACCTACGGAAGCAAAAGACAGGGATGCTGGCACAATGCCTCTTTTTGAGAGTCATGGTGGGGTGACGTCGGTGTGCCTGGGGGTACAGTTCTCAGTCATGTTTTAGTCGCGCGGAGCTGTCATTGGGGTTCCAAGTTTGTTTTCTTTCCTGACTAGCACCGTTGGTTTTCCACGCGCGGCTCAATGCATCCAAGCCGCCATTTAGCCAGTACCTTGGCGCTGGAGGGTTTAGGGCTGGGATTTCGGCTCACCACCATGTCTTGCTGATGTGCCATGCAACAGTAGTTCGGGAGGTCAAAACGGTGAAAACATACAAAATGGATTCTGCGTCCATACAAGACTTCAGCTAGTTAATTGCCGACTAAAGTTGCAACAGCGTGCAATAAAGAAGACCTGCAACCCAGACACACCTCCTGAAAGCCATCTTGGAAGCTATCCCCGCGCCGCATCTGCACAAATCGGCCGGCAGCCACCATCAGCGACGTCTTCCCGATGCCTGCGGGCCCCGTTAGGAAGGAACCACAAAGGATCCCCTTTATGGATCCCGTTGTCACGTGTTAGCAAGCCCGAACCACAAAAAGCACAAAAGAGCCATAAAACAGACCAAGGATGCCTTTGCTCCCCGACAGTGTTACCAGCCGCCTCGGCTATCCGGGCGCCGGTCGGACGAGGAGCTTCGAGCTGGTAGCGTCTAGGTGACGGGGTCTAAGGCTCAGGGTTGTAGGGTCTAAGGATGTAGGGCTTCGAGGTTTCGGGTGAAGAGCCTACTGGCACACATCACAGCCCACTGATCGTCTCTTGCTTGTCAACAACGTCACGAAGCCGAACCTTTCTACCGAACCTAGCAGTCCGAGAAGTCCGCAGACCCCACTAGCTCCAAGCACTTAGGTGTCTAGGGGTCTCCCTCTTGGACGTACTTTTGTTTTGTTCTCGAGCGGCCGTCGCTTCTTGCGATCTGTATTTCTTTTTGCATTTATGTATCTATGTATTTGTTTATGTGTGTGTGTGTCCTTCTTACACGCGTTTATGTTTAAATTTTTACATACATACATATACATATGTATGTCACATTATATATATATATATATGTGCTGTACATACGAGTGCTACAGCAGTCAGACGACTTCAACCGTTGGTCTACAAGCGAGGCAGCCTGGACTTCAAGTGGCACAGCAGCCTCCAGATGTCCACCTGCAACAGTCAGGAAAACGGTTTAAGGTTTAGGGTTTAAGGCTCCGTTAAAAGGAACTACAAGGGGTCAGGGGATCTTTAAGTGGGGTTTAGTGGGTACTTGGAGGTTCGGGGTGGCGACAAGTGTGTTATAAGTCCCCTGATGTGGGTCGTAGCTGTAGTTACCTGAGAAAAAACTACTACTAAGCGCGTGCCATCCTACTCATGAGAGCAATCGGTAGGTGGCTGTCGCATATGTACTGGCATTACGACTACTCCGAACGGTTGGTGCCCCTTCTTGCAATGTAAGAAACGCAGGTATAATGGACCGATGTTGTGGCAGGTCAATGTGTCAAGGGCATCGTGATGTGAGCTATGCTCCTGTGGTACAATATGATATACCCATCAGTCTAGTAGCACCAAAATAGGCTACAATGCTACTACAGCATGAACCACTGTGGCGATAAGGGAACAGCAGTGAATAGAGGGGCATGACTTAGTACTAACATTTTCCTTGCGGCTACTTATTGTAGCTATGGTGCTATGTATATATATTTATATACCCCCCAAACCCTATTTTAAGCACTTAGGCTTGGCTCATGGGTAGGTAGAAGTCACTTTATAAGTAAGGTAACTACAGATACGACCCTCACTGGGGGACTTGTAACCCTACTATTATTTTTGCTACCCCTGAACCTATAGCACACTTCTAGTTCCCCTATAGGAACCCTTATAGTTCCTTTAAAGGAACCCTAAACCCTAGAGTACACTTATAGCTCCCCTATAGGAACCCTTATAGTTCGTTTAAAGGAACGCTAAACCCTAGAGTATAGTTCCCCTATAGGAACCCGTATAGTTCCTTTAAAGGAACAATGAACCCTATAGTACACGTATAGTTTCCCTGTAGGAACCCTTATAGTTCCTTTAAAGGAACCCTGAACCCTATAGTACACTTCTAGTTCCCCTACAGGAACCCTTATTATGGTTCCTCTAAAGGAACCCTGAACCCTATAGTACACTTACAGTTACCCTACAGGAACCCTTACAGTTCCGTTAAGGGAACCCTGAGCCCTATAGTAAACTTATAGTTCCCGTATAGGAACCCTTACAGTTCCTTTTGAAGGAACCCTTATAGTTACGTTTAATGGAACCCCACTTATATTTCCTTTAAAGGAACCGACCCCCAAACGATTTCAGGGCCTCGCGGCCCATGAAGTCCTCCACCCGCGCAGGAAGCCACCGCGGTGATGCGAAACTAGCACAGGGTTTAGGGTTTAGGGGTTTAGGGTTTAGGGGTGTAGGTTTTAGGGTTTAGGGTTTAGGGTTCAGGGTTCAGGGTTTAGGGTTTAGGCTTTTGTCGTGACGTCCTGAACCTTTTGGGTAAGATGGCCGGGCAATGGAACTTACAGGAGCTGTACAGTCGAACTTTCTTGAGCCCTGAAGCTTGGAATCTTGCCATGTGTAGTAAACTCTCCGTCCGCTTTTAAACCTGACCCGCAAGAAACACACCTGAAACCCTGCAAAGCCCCCGATCCCATTCGATAAAAAAACGGATCCGCACCACGACCTCGGCAAGGTAGTGGCCACACCAGCCAGCACAACGTTGTGGTCACCGCCTAGCTTGTTGAGAGGTAGGCGTCTGATCCCACCACATGTCCAAGGACGGAACGCAACTTGGGCTTGGGGCTAGCTGCTAGCTGCACTCCCGGCACGTGGTCTCTGTTCGTGACTGGCTCGAAGGGACAAGAGAGACGTGCTCCTTCGCTACTCTCGCCACAGCACCACGAATGCCGGAAAACCCTCTAGTCCGAAATCCTACACCTAACCACCAGCCTTCCGGGAGGAGGACGAAGGAGGCGGCATCCTTCTGGCACATCCCATCCGAGCTGTGGCGGAGGGAAGCAACCCCGCACCTTGGTTGTGGTTCAGACTGAGATGGAAAGCACCCCAGGTGCCGAGGTACCCCGGATATATGACGTATAGTACGGAGTCCAGCTGCTATCAGATGGCCGAGCTACCCGAAGGACTCGCCGATGCTTCGACCCGCCCTTAGGGCGCTGAAGAAGTTCCGGGCAAAGAGGCGGCAGCTGTTGTCGCGGACCTCCTTGTCGTCCTGCACGCAGACCTCGGGTTAGGGTTTAGGATTTAGGGTTTAGGGGTTTAGGGCTTAGGGTTTTGGGGTTTAGGGTTTCTAATGGAAGGAAAAGCATCTCCAAACTCTCGTAATTGGAAAAAGACCTCAGGCATGTTAATTAAAAGACTCTTGATCGGGGAGGCTAAGTGTGCACTCCTTCGGGGCATACTGCTCAACTTCCAAAGCAACGATCAGAAGATGATGAGATGTGGCCAAGGCACCACGTGCTTGACCCCGGCTTGGACGAAGTGCTGACCCACTGCGAAGGAATGGCATGCATTGAGCACCTGAAGGTCAGTGAGATGCACCTCTTCAGACCGACGAGGATGCGTTGCGATGGCACCGGATCTCTTGAACGAGCCCCGAAGGGTTACTATAAGGGACGCTACAACCGTTACCGTTACTGCAAGGGGTACTATACGGAGTTTAGTAGTTTCATGCGCCCGAAACAGGGACGACACATCTAAGCGCTGCGCCACCAGCTTGACGCACTGCGATGCCTGTCCATCCGTCAGGAGGCGCTGGAAGTCCTCGCAATCAGGACCAGCGATGTACGGTCCAACCCCGTACGTGAGTTTTGGAAAACGGGGGAACACAGTAACAATACAAACCCTACACAGGAGCCCCAAACATACCGAGCACGAAAAGGAGCCCCGAATTTTGGGGTACCTCCAGTGGACTGGTTGCACGAAGACCTGCGGACAGCGACGGGACTGCATTTCATCGCCCTAGGCCTAAATAGTTACCAATGCTGTTTCCGGGGGTTCCTTGCTAAAATTATTATAGACCCCTTTGAAAGGAACCCTATTGTAATTATTAAGGCCCCTATACTGCGCTTCCCCAGCAAGAATCCGTAAGGCATCCTGACTCAGAACAACAGTTTCTGAAAACAAGAGAGAAAACCTTCAAGGACACGAAACGACAACTAGCGGTACTTAGGTCTGTAGCTTTGAGATCGAGCATGTGCTATATGCGAAGCGCATGCCGTAAAGCCCCTAAACATACTTTCAAAGATGAAGTCAGAAACCCTGAGTGAGTCCTTGCGTCAACCCGCAGTCCTAACTACAGACCCGGAGCCCTCGATCACCCCTGGGTTCAGCAAGGTTCTTAAATCATACAGCGAAGCTCCATTTAACGAAGACGCATTCCTTAAGCGACATTAGTAAAGGCAATACCTTGTCTCGGGCGCCTTCCTTAAGTCATAACATGAAACCTATCTGGATGATGGAAGAGTCCTGAGCTGCTAGTATGCGGCAGTGCGCTCTGAGAGCTCTCGTAAACCCCAGAACCCTAAACCCCACGTCCCGCACCCCAAAAAAAAGGCCCAAACCCGTACACCTAAACCCCAAAACCATCCCAAAACCCTATCATCCCCTTCTCCAAAAAAGTCAGCCCTAAACCCCTATGAAAAATCCATAAACCCTAAACCCAAACGTTCTCCCCCCTTCTCCCTGCACAAAAAAATGTCAGCCCTAAATCCTTCTGCCCCAACGCAAGACGCAAGCCTCGGCGGTCATGATGTGAGCCTTGCCCTGGGGGTCTTCGAGGAAGAGATGTCGGGCCTGGCAAGAGCCAAAGTATGAATATAGTGATGTGTCTATGCATTAAATGTACATATATATATATATATGTATATATATATATATACACATGTGTGATTGTATATACAGTCACAGAAATATACATATATATATATATATATATACATATATAACTACATATGCATACACATGTACATATACATAAACAGATACGTAAGCATGCATCTACACTACATATGCCTATACACATACATATACATATACACACATATACGTATACATAGACATAAAGATATACATATATACATACATGAACACATACATTTGCGTATACACATACATACACATACGCATGTACCCTCTACACAAACATAAACATAAACATAAACATATACATATACATATACATATACATATACATATACATATACATACACATACACATACACATACACATACACATATACATATACATATACATATACATATACATATACATATACATATACATATACATATACACATACATATATACATATGTATACAGGTACTGACACATTTGCATATACACGTAAACACATACACATACATAGACATAGCCATAGACATAAACAGCTACATCTAGATATACACCTACATCTACATCTATATATACATATGCATATATATATATATACACACACGTACACATATATAGATATGTAGGGATCTACGTACATACACAGAGAGAGAGAGAGAGAGAGAGAGAGAGAGAGAGAGAGAGAGAGCGAGAGAGAGAGAGAGAGAGAGAGAGAGAGAGAGAGAGAGAGAGAGAGAGAGAGAGAGAGAGGAGAGAGAGAGAGAGAGAGAGAGAGAGAGAGAGAGAGAGAGAGAGAGAGAGAGAGAGAGAGAGAGAAGAGAGAGAGAGAGAGAGAGAGAGAGAGAGAGAGAGAGAGAGAGAGCGAGGGAGGGAGGGAGGGAGGGAGGGAGGGAGGGAGTTTGGGATGTAGGGCTTTGGCATGGAGGGGTCGCGGGTTTAAGGGTGAAAATAGGCTACGCGCGATTTTCAGGCTCTGCCAGAGGTTTGGGACTGCGGGGTTCGAAGGTTCAACGGACTGGGGTTTACGGTTTGCGTTTTGTGTGCAGTGGCTTGGAGGCTTGTAGCCTAGGGTTAAGGAGGTTAGTCTACCGACATGCGTGTGCCCATTGATGATGTCACAGGCAACTATGCCCAGTAATGCCCTGTCCCTGGTCTCTGGAGCACTGTGAAAACAAGTCATCGCTGCTAGTGCAGTAGGCCTGGCCAGATGAGCAGTGAAGCGCCAGGTGCAGCACCTGACTCGGGAGGCTCCAAAATTCAAGTTCCAGGGATTAGGGCAGCGTTCTTTACATGATGTAATTTGCAATGGTACTGATGGTACATGCTTCTTCCCTCAAGGCTTGTAACTAAAGGGATACCGGAAGATGTCGGACATGGGGTCTTAGCAAGCATAAGGATCAGACCACAAGATGCCCTGTAAAGGACAGGGATGAAGGAAGGTTCCAAGCTCTGGGCTTGAGGGCCGCTTTGGAGCTTCGTTTCTCCGGCTCTTGAGGTTTAGGCTTTAGGGTTTAGGCTTTAGGGTTTAGGGTTTAGGGTTTAGGGGTTTTAGGCTTCAGAGCGTCGGAGATTTTCGGGCTCTGGCCGGACACAACAGGAGACATGGATCTAGCAAGCAGAAAGCGCGTGGTTGGTGCATCCATGGCGGTCCAGAGTTGACGACAAGATACCAGCCGCATAGTAAGTAGCAGCATAACTTAGAGGCATCCTCGGACTAGTTAAGGAGGAACAGTTGTGCCTGCAATGTGACTGGGTTCTCGGATTCAAAGCCTCCTTGCAGTAGGACACGTTTTACGGGAATGACATGCTCCTCGACATACAGCAGATGGGATCTTGATTTACGACACTGTTTGCTGCTTCCGAGGTCTGGTGGAATGTAGCCACGGCTTGGATTCCTAGGACGGACAGGGCTACATGCACATGGCAAGCCTCGCACTCAGCACGCGCGATAAGCTGTCGCAGGTTTTGGGACGTGGCCGCCGACGGCAACACCTCGCAGCCGCTTTGGCGAACTTCTGCGACCTCACGGGCGTTGCGGACAGGCGTGCCATCCGTGTCGACCAAACAGATACATAATTTCCTAAATTATCCTCTCGACTCTGAACTTGACACTTTGTCAATCTCCAACCCAAGCGAGATCACCTGCCTCCTCTTCTACCTGCAGCTGTGGTAGCGGGCGCATTCCCTTGAAGACCAGCCTGGGATAGGGCTGATCGTTTCTCACGGCAACAAGACCTACCGAAGCAGCAAAGATTATGGAAACTATGCACACAACAACAGGAGCAAAGCCGGCCATGAGACAAATAGCGAGTTTGACAAGACGAGCATCAGCAGCTGTCATGAGCCACAAGCGGCAAACACCAGTCAGTTCGACAAGAGTTATAAAACAGTTTCTATAATACGACTGTCAGCACTTCTCAAAATCATCTTGGCTGTTATCATTGCCATAGCAGTTCTTCAGCACGATCGTCGCTTTCCTCATCACTCAGGGTTTGTAGCCCCAGTAGGCCAATGCTCATCGCTCGAGCCACCCTGTCTGCGCACCAAGGAGCTGCAGTTGCACCTCCGGCACCTTGGCAAGCGCCGGCATGCGGTTCACCAGTTGCGCCACCAAGGTCCCAGGCCCTTGGCCCTGCGCCAGAATCTCCAATGGTGCACCTGACGTTGACGCGGGGCTTCGGATTGAAAGTTTAGGGTCCGGGATGTGGGGCGAAGCTGGGCATTGGGGTCGTGGGTCGAGGGCTTGGGCTTCAAGACAAAAAAAGGCTAGTATAGGGGCCGACAAAGGCATAGGGTTCTGGGGCCCATTATTGTATGGTTATGAGATCAGAAACCCCCCAAATAGTCTAGGTAATTGTTAAGGCCCCTATATTAAGTTGATTCCGAGAGTCCTGGGAGGATCGGCGGCGCCACGCTTCGGGAGGGCGATTCAGCGGGGCCGGACGCAGGAGGTGGATGGGGCGCCTCAGCTGCATCCCCTTAGGTTTAGGGTTTAGGGTCGACTTCTGCCGGAAGTATTTTCTTTTCTAGGTTTACACGGCACCAAATCCTAAACCCTCTAACCCTAACCACAAAGCTGAACCCTAACCTCCAAACCCTAAAACCTTGAACCCCAAATCCTACATGAACCTACAAGGTTTTAGGGTTTAGGGTTTTAGGGCAACATGAACCTACAAGCCCCAAATTTTATCTAAAGCTGGCGTCGAGCAACTTCCGGGCAGGCGTCCTCCCGCCGCGCCAGCAAGAACACCTTGAAAAGCTCGTCTCCCGGCTGGATCATCGCCTTACTTTTGGGTTTAGGGTCTGCATAGAGGCATGGAGAGCCGTAAAAGAAACTCTTGTGGAATTCCTGTCAACCCTCATAACATACCAAACAAAAAGCCTTTGAAAGCTTGTCAAACCTCTGAACACCATATGCAAAAATGCCAAATCTTTTGAAACCCTTATAGAACCCTTACAAACCCTTTTGAAACCCTATAACAACCCTTAAAGGACAGAAGCTAAGGCTTCAAGATTCCATAGGAATTTCTGTAAGGCTTTAGAGCTGTAGGCTTCTCGGGTTCAGGGTTGGGTTTTTAGGCGTTAGGGGCATGGGCAAAGAGCCTCTCGCAACAGAGCCGATGGTCCGGCTAGGGTTTCGGGCTGCTTAGATTTAAGTTCAGGTTAAGGGTTGGGACTACGTAGGGTCAAGAGTTGGAGGATGTGCTCTCTCCCCAACGAGCCTCTGCATGTTTGTGGCGCCGATTCCACAGAGCTGCCTGCTCAACGGATGAGGGTTCGGATTACAGGGCTCGAAACAGTGCATCAGGATTTGCCCTTCTTATCCGTGAGCCTAAGGCTAGACCCTGAAGCTGTGGCAAACAACACGATAGAACCCTTTTGAAGTCCTATCAAACTCTCATAATACAATCATGAAACGCTTGTTACATCAACATTTGTTAAGCCCTATCAAAATCGAAAACAAAGCTAACAGTAACCTAGAACATCCTTCTAAAATCCTTGTAAGCTCTCATGAAAAACCTGCTCAATCCTTCATGGAACCATTTCAAGCGCTCATAAAACCCTCCGAAGCTGTCTACAAATCAGACAATCTTCCAAAGCCTCATAAATCCGTTTCAAACCGTCACCATAAGAAAAACACAAGCAAAACCTGATAGTTAGTAGTAACGAAACATTACGCCGAAGACGTAGTCGTAGTACTAGTCGTCGTCGTAGTAGTAGTAGTAGGAGTAATAGGAGTAGTAGTAGTAGTAGTAGTAGTACTACTAGTAGTAGTAGTAGTAGTAGTAGTAGTAGTGGTAGTGGTAGTGGTAGTGGTTGTAGTAGTAGTAGTAGTAGTAGTAGTAGTAGTAGTAGTAGTAGTAGTAGTAGTAACTAGTAGTAGTAGTAGTAGTAGTAGTAGTAGTAGTAGTAGTAGTAGTAACTGGTAGTAGTGGTAGTGGTAGTAGTAGTAGTAGTAGTAGTAGTAGTAGACAAAAGTCTGCCGGCACCTCGCCCGCCACCGAGCTTAGGACCGCCGGCTCGAGGCTTCGGAACTCGAGGCCGAAGTCGCGGCAGAGAGCTTCCACGGTGTCCTCGGGGGCTTCAGAAGGAGTTGAGGGTTTAGGGGTTGAGGGTTTAGGGGTTTAGGGTTCAGGGGTTTAGGGTTCAGGGGTTTAGGGTTTAGGGGTTTAGGGCTTAGGGGTTTAGGGTTCAGGGGTTTAGGGTTCAGGGGTTTAGGGTTTGGGGGGTTTAGGGTTTAGGGTTCAGGGGTTTAGGTTTCAGGGTTCAGGGGTTTAGGGTTTAGGGGTTTAGGGCTTAGGGTGTGTAGACAGTGTGCGTGCGGTGGGTGCAATTCTTTATGGATGGGGGCGCGCCCACTTATCGCGCGCGTTCGTCAGCATGTAATCCCGACCCAACCACCCCAACGATTTTCGATTGGCCCTCCTCAAGGGGGGCTTTCGTGCTTTCCGCTTTGCTTCGCAGTTCTGCATAACACGACGGTTTCACAGCAAACCATAGCTGAGATGGATTGGTGTCGGGCGGTGGGTCCTCGCGGCCGGTGCCGGCCGATCGATGAGAAGCAAAAGCTTCCAACAAACAACCTGCCCCTTGCACCCTGCGAGGGTCGCTCGAAGTGTACACCTATCCCGCGAAAGCCCTGCCGAAAAAGGCCTCCAACGTGAGGGCGGAAAAACTTCCGTTTTTCCAGCTTGGGTCTTTGTGCGCTTTTGCACGACTGGCCCCCCCGAGACCCCCTTTGAAAAGTTGGGGAGAAGCCCGGGGTCCCCCCGCACCCCGCGCACCCGACGAAAGTCCCCGCAATGGTCGTGGGGCTTGTGGTCCATCTTCACTGCTTGACGGCAGAGAGGTCTTTGGGGGCTGCGTCACCAAGTCCTCCTTTTGCTGGAGGCCTTGGTCGGAGCCTCGAGTGCCCTGTGTAAATGGCCAGCGACGGTCTCGGGAGTTTTTTTTTTTTAAAGTGCAGTGGCCTTTCGCTCGCACGACGGTCCATCCATGTTCAGGATGTGCACTCAGATAAAAGACCCATGAACACATAAACTCTTGCTCAGTACCTCTTGCGGAACCTCTTGCGGAGAATCAGCTTCAGGGTGGGGGACTGAAAAGGTTTCGTGCTTGTCGCGGTCGCCATTGTCACTATGGGCTTCCCAATGAGCTCGACGTCATTGACCAGAAAGTAGACGAGGTGGTCGTCCAAGTGGAAGAGGACATCGAGATCGGGCTAGTAGTCGACGAACACATAGTAGAAGGCCGCGATGAAGTGGTTGTGCTCGTGGTGCTCGAAGCAGTGCCAGGCTCACCTTCAGCTCCTATCGCCACCATGGAGGTTGTCACTGCTCCACCATCTCCACCTTGTTCTCCTCCAGGGTGGGGTCCAGTGCCCGGTCGTTCCGTGGCAGCATTGGATGGCGAAGAAGATGAGCTTGAGGAAGAGCTGACAGCATCCTCCCCAACAGTGGACATCGCCCCAATTGGGTCTTCTGTGTCCATTGCTTCTCCAGGTTCCAGCCAAATACCGTGTAGGTTGCCAGCAAGAGCCGAGTCGACAGAGCCCTGATAGCGCACGGGACGAGGAGGAGGAGGACCGCGAGGAGCATCGGAGGAGGCGGCATCCGAGTGTATGGAAACCATTTCTCCCGCTGAGTTCAGTGCGAAGTCGCTGGTGCCCTCTTCAGAAGAAGACCGCGCCACCCGGCCATACCCTTCACGAGCAGAGGTCGTGGCGGTGATGCTCACCGCCTCTCTGGGCGTCGAGGGACCTGCTTCAGTGGCCACGACGCTGGCAGGGCTTGGCTCGTCTGCCGCAGCATGTCCTTCACCAGGTTCAACATCGTTGTCCGTAGGCATCAGGCCAGTGTCCAGGTGGCGACCAAGTGTCTCCTCAAGGATCACCCTCTGGTTCCTCGCCCACTGGAAGAGACTCCATCTCATCATCTCCTGGCGAGGTACCCGACGAAGTGGGAGATAACCACGGGGTAGAAGACGACGTTGGAGTATTCCCATCGCCCTTTCCATGGCTTCCAATCCATCAGTAGCTCTGTCGAGAAAACATCCCAGAGCCCAGCGACCTTCGGCTCCACGTCCCTCTTGTTGTTGACGATCCATGGTGTCAAGCATTGTTTCCATCCGGGCGATAGCTCCAGCTGGGACCCCACTTTCCTGAAGCAGAGCCCTTTCAGAGCTGGTGAGTTGCATCATAAAGACCTCTTCATCATCAAGTTCACCCGGCTCCAACTCTCGTACTTCAGGGAAGAGACCATAGTTTGGTGGAAACCATTCTGTCATTGAGGGGCTCGTCGAGGAGGTCGTGGTTGTAGAAGTCGAGGTCTCCCCAGGCCAAGGCCACTCAGTGACCACATCCTGCTGAGCCTCATTCCAGTTCCATTGGTCTGCCCATGAAGTCCACCACGAAGACGCTGAAGAGCTCCACGAGGAAGTCGAGGTAGGGTGTTGCCAAGAGGGTGTCCACGAAGAAGTGTCACCCCATTCCCACCATGTACTTGTATGTTCTTCTAAGGAAGACGTAGCCGGTCGAGCAGTAGAGGGTGTCCAGGAGGAAGTGTCACCCCATTCCCACCAGTCACTGCCATTTGTTTCCCAGAGCGGAAGAGGTTCAGCAGTGCCCGTTGTCCCCTGTTGTTGAGCTTCATCCTGTGGTCCTTGAGCTCCCTGCTGTTCGTTCATTTCCACCACCTTTGGGGTCGAAGAGGACGAAGGTGTCTGCGAGGAGGTCCCGGTCGTAGTTTCTTGTGCTTCCCTTTGTTGCTTTTGGGTGATATAGTTTTCCAACCAGCTGGGCCGCCATTCACCTCGCAGATATCGTTCAACTCTTTCGCGACGGCGGAGGGTACGGCGAAGTCCTGATCCTCCTTGGTGAGCGCGCTGTTCTTCTGCCGTGCGAGGACGATCGTGCCAACAGCCATGCTTCCAAAAGCCCGGTGCACTGGAAGCCGTGTCACTGCTGTTTGTTTCCACTGGACTCGGGAGTTTAGGGTTTTGGGTTTGGGGCTCCATGAGGAATTCTTTTTTAAGGGCTCTATAAGGGTGTCGGATTTAAGCTTTAGGAACTTTAGGGTTTGGGGGCTGCAGAAGGATTCTACCCTCTCACACGAAAAGACCGAACGATGTCCTTGGAGGGAGCGCCTTTGCAGCAGAGGCCCAGTGAGATGGGCCTCTCCATACAGAGCCTCGGGCTGCAGTCGGGAGGTCCGATTCTGTATCATGGAATTATCATTATTGTCAATGCTATTACTACGGTTGATTATATAAATCCTGCACTACCCATTATAAGGAACATACCTCTTAATTCCCATGGTTTAGGGTCCTCAAGGTAATGCAGGATTTATAACGTCAACCGTATTATTACTGTTCTTATGGTAATGCTGATGCCTTTGATCATGAATATGTTCTTATTACTCTTTCTCTTGTTCTTACCTAAAGATGATATGCATTGTTGTTGCACATATTCTTATATCTTGGTGGTGTATAGGGTGCAGGGTTGCAGGTTTAGGGTTTGTTGGTTGCGGGTTGAAGGCCCTCGTTTTGGGATTTAGGCCGTTGCAGAGGGGCTCCCGGGCTGAAAGGGTCGTTGCTGGAAAGGTCTCCACACCCAGACCTTCCAAAATCCCTTAATTTTGGAATACCCCTTAAATGATAGTAGGATCCTGAATATGATTTAAGGTATATTCCTTAATTAAGGGATTTTGGAAGGTCTTGGCACTTCCAGCAAGGTGTTGCGGTGATGCGGTGGCGATCCAAACGAAGAGTCGAAAGGAAGCTTGTCATTTGCAACAAAAATTGAATCACCAGGACCACGAATCCAAAATCGGTGCAGTTCAGCGAGATCAGGCTGAGATTCTGCAGCTCAGCGGAATCTATCTACAAGTACTACTGGAGGTAAAGAGTAGCTTATTCGTCAAGGAAAGCAAAGGACAACGCCGAAAGCCCTTCTGTTCGACCCTAAACCCTAAACCCCTAAACCCTAAACCCTCGAAAGCCGCTAAAACCCTAAACCCCAAACCCTTTTCGGTGCAACAGGGCTAGCCCTTGCTTCGGGCGTGACCCGTTCTTTTATCAGGGCATGGAAGTTTAAGGTTTAGGGTTTAAGCTTCTAGCAGAAAAGCCGACCACATAAACCTATATAATATGATTCCAAAGTACCACTAGTAGGATACTATACTACTATACTTTGGCGAGACCAGGGGCGGTGATGAAAAAAGGAGATGGCAGCGTAAGCTTCGTGATTTCGGTGCTTCCGCTTCTTCGGACTCTTCTGCTTCGCGCTCGTCATCGTCCTCTAGAGGTGTAGGGTTTAGTACGGTCCCCATACAGTAAGAGTCTATAATAGGGCTACTATTAAGATCCTACTATATCTATATTGTGAATCTTATTCAACTATTACTGAGTGGGGGCTGTACCTAAGGTGCAGGGTTTAGGGCTCCCCACAAACCCTAAAGGGCAACAATGCCATGCAACCGCATTTACAACAACTTCAACAGCTGCTAAACCCTAAACCCTAAAACCCTTTTCCCCAATCCCTAAAACCCTAAATAAACCCTAAAACCTCACGGCTCGAGCTTGTCTCGGGTTGAAGGTTCCGGGTTTTGGGGGGGTGCAGGGCCCAACGACGTCCCACATTTTTGGGACCGGTATCAGATAATCATATCAAAAGGGACTGACAAGTAAAACCTACTTTGAAGACTTCCTTTTCCTGAGTGAGGAATCCTAAGACTCTACGTTCTACTTATAACCCCACTTAGAATACTTATAACTTTACTTACTAAGTCCCGTGACCGTCCTTTATAGAACCCTTATAAATCCCTTTGAAGATCCCTTTGAGGAGCCCTATAAGGATCCTTTAAGGAACCAAGTTGGCTTTTGGGTCCTCCTGCGACTTGTTCTCCAGAGCGCAGACGTCGTCCAAGGCCATGTCCCAGGCCACCTCCGCAGGATGCAAACACTTCGGGATTTAGTGTTTAAGGTTGGGGGCCTTGGGGTTTAGGGGTTTGGGGGTTTAGGATTTAGGGGTTTAGGGTTCAGGGCTTAGGGCTTGGGGTTTAAGGCTTAGGGCTTAAGGTTGGGGGCCTTGGGATTTGGGGGTTTGGGGGTTTAGGGGCTTGGGGCTTAGGGTTTAAGGTTGGGGTTTAGGCTTTACGGGCTTAGAGGTTTAGGGTTTAGGGTTTGGGGTGGCTTCCGGGAGTTGGAGCCGTGGAAGCGCACAAACCCTGATCCGTTCTTAACCCCAAACCCCAAAATGCGCTAAACCAGAAATCCCGTGCTTGCGACGAATGTTACCTTCAAGCAGCAGACTCGGAGTTAGATGCCCAAGAACAGTACTCCAGGAGAAGTGCATCAGGATCTTCGGCTGCCCAGACAAGCCAGGAGAAAAAGCACTGACCTAAACCCTAAACCCTTTGCTCTAAACCCTAACCCTCAACCCTCAAGGGGGAGGGGGGGAGGGCGGGAAATGTCTGACAGAGGCCTTCACATCTTTAGGTTTTTTGGGTTTTGGGCTTAAGGTTCGGGGTTTAGGGTTTATAGGCCGGGTTTACCTAAAACCCTAAAGCGCCACTATTTCGGAGCCTCGCTGGCTGGGCCGTCAGGAGCAAAGAATGCCTCTGCCTGCACTCCCTGCTCAGCCGCCGCTAAGGCCTGAGGCGGATGAACAGAGGCTTCAGGGCTGGGTTTAGGGTTTAGGGGTTTAGGGGTTTAGGGGTTTAGGGTTTAGGGTTTAGGGGTTTAGGGGTTTAGGGGTTAGGGTTAAGGGGCTTTTTTTTCAAGTGTAATGCACCGCTCCTTTGACTCCAAAAGGCCGTCGGTACTGCTCGGTTTAGGGGTTTAGGGATTCGGGTTTAGGGTTGGATGAAGAGCCCTTCAAGGGATTCTTATAGGACGTACTAGAAAGCTTGCAGAAAGGGTTGCCGTAAGGGTACCTTGTAGTATCCTTAAGGGAGGGGGGTCCAAGGGGGGTATATAGCCTAGTGATCCCTAGTTCTCCCTAGTACTCCCTAAGGTTCCCTTACAGTCCCCTAAGGATTCCTTATACCCTCCCCCCTTGAACCACCCTCCCTTAAGGATCCTATAAGTACCAGGGGCATTTTGCCCGAGCTTCGAGGTTCAAAGTTCTGGGTTTCGGTGGTGGGGCCAGGGCCTAGGACTCCGGGATAGTTGGGTTTCATGCCCTAAAAGGTCCCTTTCAGAAACCCTTGAATATAACATATATATCTATATATATATATATATGTATATGTATATGTATATGTATATGCATATATATATATATATGAGGGTTAGGATTGACTTTAAGGTTAGATGTTAGGGTCTCGGATAGAATTTTTCAAGAGCTTGAGAACCAACGCCGAAGATGCTCTTGGGTTTACATCTAGGATCTTGGGTTTCCTATAGTATGCAGTATACTTATTATAGACTACATTACAGAACCCTAATACAGGGGTCTATAAATTACCAATACTCCTTTGCGGGCTCCTTATTTCGATTATAATATAGTGGGCCCCAATACCCTATTCTAACTTCGAAGGCCCCTATATTATAGTACCCTTATAGATCCCTTATAGTACATAGCTCTTATATAGACCCCTGTAAAGGGAACTCTATTCTAATTATTCAGACCCCTAGGGTCATGATTAAGGTCACTGTACTTATAGCTACTTATATCCCCACTTAGGGTACTTATAACCATACTTACTAAGTCCCATGATCCTCCAAGTAGACCCTAAACCCTAAACCCTCTAGATCACTTTAAGGAACCCTATAGAGCCCGTTAAGGAGCCCTTTAAGGAACCCTACTTACTAAGTCCCATGATCCTCCAAGTAAACTTCCACAGCTTGCCTCGGCGACAGGCAAGGCCTTGGCCTGGGCCTGCAAAGCTGGAGATGCTGGCAAAGCCCCACCCTTGGCCTCCTCCTGACACGGCGGGTTTAGGGCTTTAGGGTTTTAGGGTGTAGGTTTTTTGGGTTTTAGGGTTCAGGATTTAGGCTTTAGGGTTTAGGGTTTCGGGTTTAGGGCACGGCTTCGGATTGAAGGGCAAGGGTCTTGTTATCAATTTTTTGTGTGTGATCACCTCGCCTTAGCATACTGGCGTGGAAGGGATGCTAAAGCTGGCAGTGTTGGGATCTAGGGTTTAGGCGGTAGGGTTCAAACTTGGCATCTAGTGCTTCGTTGTGCGGCCTTGTTCATCAGGATCCTAAATTCGGGGCTGGATCTAAAGCCATCAAGCCATGCCAAATTCCACCAGCTTGAACCATTTCATTAAACATGTTTTACTCCAGATCGCAACAGCAACTACCCTATACCCTAAACCCCAAGCTTCGGAAGACCACCACACGTGCAGTTGCCCATCCTGGTCCGAGGAGGAACTGCGACCGGCTGCATCGCTCCCTGTGCGTGCCCGGGCCTTGTCGATTTGGATGCAGGGCTATACTCCAAGTGACGCGATGCACGTTCAGAAGGGCTCTACACTTTCGATTCCTAAGGCTACCGTCTAGCGAGGCAGGCGCTCAAGCTACACTTGCGGCTGGGTAGCGTATGCAAATCTGGAGGGGCTCTAGGGGAACGATATTTTGTTTTGCTCCTGGTAATCTGAAGTCCCCTGATGCTGTATACGTTGTGGGTCGAGGCTTCATGAGGGTTCGCGAATAAAGTGCCATCGCACGACAGCACGCCATGAACTGCCACACCACGACACAAATACCTGGCCCAACACACGTTGCGTGGCTAGCTCTTCTAGAGGTTGTTCATCAGGAACCTAAACAACCGTAAGCGCCACCCTGAAAGACTAAACACGCACTAACAAATCGCGATAGCAAGGACCATGCTTCAGAATCATCACTGCGTGCGCAGTTGTCCGTCCTCGTCTCGGGAAGAACTGCGACTCGCTCCATATGTAGCGGCGTGTGCACGGTCCTTGTCGAATTGCAATCTGAAGAAGTTAGTGTTAAGGATGCGGGAATCAATTTAAGTTGACTCCAGTGCAAGGGGTAATTTGTTTATACTTTGCTCATGGGCGCTCTGCACTATAATTGGAAGAATTGCACGTCCATACATACACATACACGTACACGTACACATATACATACACAAACACATACACATACACATACACATACACATACACCTACACATACGTATCCGTATACATATACATATACATATACATATACATATGCGTATACGTATACATATACAGATACGTATACATATACATATACATATACATATACATATACCTATACATACACGTGTACAAGTGCATGTACATATAAGTATGTATACCTTATCTACATGCACATATACATATACATAAACATGTGCATGTACACATAAATATAAGTGTAGATATACACATACACATACATATACATGTACATATGCATGCACATGTACATGTAGGCCTACATGTGCATGTAGGCGTACATGTGCATGTACATATACATATCCGAAAGCGTGTACATACACATCTATATGTACATGTACCTGTACAACATACATATACATATAAATATGCATGCGCATAAACATATACATGGACATGTACAAGTACATATACATATACATGTGTAACATGTACATTTACATCTACATGTGATCGCATGCGTGTACAAGTGTGTATTGCTATCTATATGTGTATAAATATATATATATATACACACACATACGCACACACATGCCGTTATATGCATGTGTATGCACAGACACTTCTGGGTGTGTCCGTCCTGTACCCGCGGGGGGCTTGGACTTTTCAAACTCGTTGCAGAGTCTCTCTTCTCCTTCTCCTTCCAGGGATTTCCAGGGCAGAAGGATTGCCGTCGGAGGGTCTACATTGTTACAAGTAGGGAACTTGGCTTGAGGGCTGCAGGGGATAGGGTTTTGGGCTCCAGAGATTTAGGGTCTTAGGATTACGGAGTGTAACCCGATACCACTCATGAGCAACTCGTCGGAGTGGCTGAACAGACGGCTTTCGGGTCTAAGGCACTGAAATACCTGGCTGTGCTGTTGAAGGGGTGAGTGTTTAGGGTTTAATCTTGCTTGTATAGCTGCAGTATAGTAAATCCCGAAAGCAACTCTAATCATTCTGGCCCCTACATTCGGGCTTCGGCGTTTGAGCTCTTGAAACGCGAGTGGGGATCAGGGCCAACACTTCGGGGTTGCTCTCGGCTGTGAGGTTCCCTCAGAACCTGGATTTCTGATGCACTCGGACCCCAGATCGGTTATCAAGCAAGAGTACATGTTTTGTATGTTCTTATTATAGCATCTAAATTATCATACGAAAACTATATAACACAAAGTGTCATCTAAATTATCATACGAAAACTATATAACATAAACTGTATTCAGTATAACATGACACATAACATAAACTAATACAAAAGAATAAAGCAATGTATACAAAGTTATGGTACCGCCTCTAGGATACCCAGTAACCTTATAAGGAACCTAGGACTACAAAAAGGGAATAAGGGTACTACTGGGCATCCTAGACCTGGTATCCTGCGAGTCTTCGGAACCTCCCCAAGGCCTTCCGCCGGCGGCGACACGGGGCCTGGGCCTCGCAGGGGCCTATAACGGATCTATAAGGGGTTCAGGGTTCAGGGTTCAGGGTTTAGGGTTTAGGGTTTTGGGTTTAGGGTTTAGGGTTTGGGGGTTTAGGGTTTGAGCCCCTTCAGGGATCTGTAGGGGTCCCTTTAAGGGATCTATAAGGGAGGGGTGTGGGGGTTTGGTTCATGGGGTTTAAGGTTTAGGGCTCATGGGGTTTAGGGTTTAGGGCTCGTGAGGCTTAGGGCTTAGGGTTCTTGTGTGGGACATTTTTGTTGACACCTTTTTCCTTTAGAGTTTAGCGTTCATGAGGCTTAGGGTTTAAGGTACACCTGTTCCGTTTAGATTTTGAGGTCTGGGGGCTGCCTAAGTCTCAAAGCACCAGACGCTAGGTGTACCCTATGATCTTGTACTTTACAATCTCGCTGGTTTAGGGGTTGGCTCATGAGGTTTAGGGTCTTGGGTTTGGCTCATGAACTTTAGGGTTTAGGCTTCATGAGGGTTCAGCACGGTTTTAGCTTTAGGGCTCAGTGCTTTTTCGACTGTTTGTCGCCTATGGTTAGAGGACCTTGGTGTTGCTTAAGGGTTCAGTAGGGAATCGGGCTAAAGTTTCAGGTTTGAGAGCTAAGGGCTTCGGGTCTCAAAACTAGAAACAGGCGTCGGTCGTCTTGAAACGGGGTGGGGGACGGGGTCAAGAGTCCTCAGCAGAAAGAGAGACGGTCGGGGAATACGGAACACCACAGCCAACTACCACGGCTTCTTCAAAAAAAGCAGGGCAAAAATCCAACCCTACCGAGACCTGAGAAGACTCGATAACACTCCGCAACAGGCTCTAACACGCAAGAATTGAAATCCAGATGCAGTCGAATGAACTTACGCCGTAGCCGGCTACGAAGATAGGGCCAGAAGCCAGAAACCACCAAAGCAGGAGGGTGAACACACCCAAGCCGAAGTAAGCCGCCCATTGTAAGATCTCTCTGCCGGTCCTCGCATTGGGGACGACTGCAGCTGATGCTCATGATGCGGCCCATCAGGGAGTTTCCGAAGATAGGGGATCCTAATATAGTACCCTAAACCGTAGGATCCTTATTATAAGGACCCCAAAAAGGAACCCCTAATTTTCGGAAAGTCCCATCAGCTGAAGAAGCAGGGAGCCGATGCTCCCTCTCACTCCGGCAAATCGCAGCCGACGCTCGGAAGTACTGCTGATGGACAAAATCCTGCATTACTCATTATTAATTTGGAATATACCATAGCTCCCATCGTTTAGAGTCCTTAGGGTCATGCAGGATTTTGTCCATCAACAGTATGACCCATCCGGCGTTTCACTGATGATCATGATGACGCCAAGGCCACCCAATGTGCTCTGACGTTCGTCATGATGACCATTGCAAGTGCTCGCACACATTGGTGACGAACGCAGCTGCTGATCATGATGATGGACCAGCAGCGAAGGAAAGAAATGCTGATGTTCGTTAAAGCACCTCTGAACGCCCCTCTCAAACTCCAAGACCGTTCTCAAAAATCTGGGTTCCTCAGAAACACACCCGCCTCGCTGGCCGGCGGGGCGCTGGCACGTGGGGCGCTGGCCACTGGCGGTGGCGGCACCGAGGGGACCAGGGCTGCGGAGGCTGCGGAGGCTCCGGAGAACTGGAACCCCCCTCTCAGGTGGAGCGTCGACCGCGCTGGCCTCAGCTAGGGATGCACAAAGGGTACTCTAAGGGCTATAGGGTCAGTACAGGGGTTGCGGGCTGGTTGGGGTTTTGTGGCTGAGGGCTTCCAGGGCTTACATTTTAAAGTTTGAGAAGATTTGGCTGCAGAGTTTCAGGGCTTACAGCGATAAGGCTCCGATGAAGATCTAGGTTGAGAGATTCAGGGCTCAAGTGTAGGCTTCGAGTCTTCCTGTGCTGTGGAGCTGTTCGGAGGGCAGGGCGCGGGCTGATGGGTTTTGGTGATTTTCGTGTTGGCTCGAGGGTAGTTATGTAATGATTCGGTGTGGGGGGTGTAGGGTGTTCAGGGTTGAGGAGTTGCTGGCTTGCTGGCTGCAGGAGGGGTGCTTCAGATTTTTCAGACAACATGCAAGGCATTGGAACAACAGAGCCCTGACGCTCGCCGGCACTTCAAGCCCATTGTCGCCCGTGGCACCGCCCAAAGTTGGTAGCAAGAGAACCCTTTGATCCTCACAGCCCTGAAACCTCAAGAACGGTTCATATGAAATCGACATACCGAACGATTCAGCTCCTAGCTTTGCATAGGAACGCAGGGCTTAGGGTTTAGCGTTGTGCGGCTCCTGTTAGGACTGCTTCGCACAGGCTTTTAAAGGGTGTATATTCGTATTGTTTCTATGTGGTGTTTCGCAGTAGAACAGGGTGAAAGCGCTGTTATGTAAGTGTTGTTGGCATCTAATGGCCTTCATACTTGAAACAGAGTTTGGGGGCCAAACTGTACTATAGTCCGCTGCACCTGTGCTCGCTCGACTCCTTCCGAGCCGTGGTCTCGGCTTCTGAAACCTGCGACACTTTGTGGATTTAGTGATTAAGCTGTTGGGTTTTTTCATTACTACTGTAGCAAGGTATCAACGGTTCTGCGGGGCTGCACGAGGGCTTCATAAAAGTCTTCATGAGGCTAACCACATGGAATAGAACAGCTAGCAACATTAACATGTCTCCCATGAGAGAAGATGTAGCAAAATAATGCCACTCAGCATGTTTGCCATGGTACGCTGTTTTGCGAACTGCCATAAGGTACAATTGAAGCTATGCAATGCAACATGGCATACTGCAGCCTACTGTATTCTGATTTTGCAGGGTGAAGTGCACATCATTGGAATCATACACGAGGTCTGCCTATCTGTCTATCTATGTATATCTATATATACGTATATATATATATATGCATACAGATAGATAGACAGATAGACAGATATCCATGCATGTATATACATTATGTGAAAGTTATATACATACACAAGCTTACTAAATAAATATGCAGACAAGCACCATTGTCTAGAGTCTTTACTCTAGCCGACGGAAAGCCAGGTAACGTGCAAAGCTATCGGCATGCTTGCGGCAAAACGCACATAAGCTCAATTACCCCTCGGCGCGTCCCAAGGAGTGGATCAGCTCGATTGCGGTCTAAGGTTTGCGGAATTTAGTTCAGGGTTCACAGGTTAAGGGTTTTAGGGCCCCCCCTTCCAACATTGTAAGTTGACACAGTTCCCTTCTAACCCAGTAAGTTGGCACAGTTTAAGGGCTCTCGCCTTCTTCTTCTTCTTGTCATGGCTGGTGGTCCTTTTTGCGACCTGAGGCGAAGCCCTCGAAGGCCGCAGCGAGGGTTTCAAGCAAACGGCTCTGGGGTTAGGGTTTAGGGTTTAGGGTTTCTTAGCTGGCCCTGGTCGGGGGCCAGGTGCTGCTCTGCAGCCATGTCACTCCTGATATAGCTCCGGTCGGAGCAGCCGGATTGAAGGACAGGCTCTGCCGAAGCGACGCGATATGCCTGTCACGACATTATCATTACGCAAGTCCACCCGCTGAAACAAGCTTGACATGACAATCAACAGACTCGATCTCCAAGTCTTGGCATCAGAACTGCCAGCAGCATCATTCAGCTTGCCAGCAGCAACAAACCGTTGCTAAGCCTCCACGGCAGCAGCAACAGCAGGAGTAGTTGCAAAAGGGAGGTAGTACACATCTAGTAGAAGTAGTAGTAGCAGTAGCTGTAGCAGTCACTGCAGGAAGAGTAGCATTCTAAAAACAGACCAATGCGAAGACGGGCTATGACGAGAACAGAGTCCTCGTGCCTGCTGGCTGCCTCTCGGATGTTCTGCACACTTTGGCCGAGAGCCGTCCTGGCACCAGCCTCTCGAGTTTTAGCACTTGGGGGTTTAGGGTTTAGGGGTTTAGGGGTTTGGGGTTTAGGATTTGGGGCGTCTGGGCTGTAGGGTATTGTACAAACTCTGTGTACGATAAACGTGTGTGTGTGTGTGTGTGTGTGGCTGTGAATATATATATATATATATATATACATACATACATACATACAGACATACATACATATACATCTTCTGTATGTACGTACATTATGCGTACCATGTGTAGTATGTATGTGCACTACGTGTACCATGTGTACTAGGTATACTGTGTACCCCGTGTGTACTATGTATACGGGAGATATACATATACATATGTATGTATATATAGACATATAGACACAGATATTATATATGTATACATATGTATGCACACACACATCCTCTACATAAATATCTACTAATTTAGACGCTGTACATACTGTACGTAGGTACTAAATAGTATCTTGGGGCAAAGGGGGGTTTGGGAAGTAGGGTCTAGGGCTTCTGGATACTCTGCAAGCCGAAGAATCGGGACTCAGACAACACGATCGAGTCCATCCAGCAGTTCTGGGCCCAATGACTCGCCGGAGTCAGACTATGGACACACTGCATGAGCCCTAAAACTTAAACCCCGAACCCTGGAACTAAACTGAACCCGACGGCCTGCCTCTCGCGCCCAGCTGGAACGGCTGGAACTGCTAGATTGGCTGGACATGCAGACCTTCATGCAGAGCTGAGGCAGACAAGTGTTTAGAATTCGATGCTTGGGGACCTTAGGGTTTCAAGGGTAGGATGTAGGGTTGAAGGTCTGGGCCCGTAGGGTTTCCTGGCAATGCCACGGCTAAACCTGAAACCAGGACAACCCACTAGAGGTTTCTGAGATGTTCCAGCATCATGGTGCACTATCTTTGCATCCTGTCGTACACTCTTTTGTCTGCAATCCACGGGGCTAAAACCCCTAAACCCCTGAACCCTCCAGACCCTCCGAACCCTAAACCCCTAAACCCTGAACCCCTAAACCCCTAAACCCTAAACCCCTAAACCCCCTAAACCCCCAAACCCTAACCCCCTGAACCCCTAAACTTAACCCTAAATCCCCTAGAAACTCAGGCACCTCGGGGGGTCTTTAGGCAAAGTCCCACGGTTCCGGGGAGCCCTCCCTCGCCACGACACCTGAGACCCCTTTATTTAGGGGGCCTTAAGAATTAGAATAGGGTTTCCTTTAAAGGGGTCTATAAGGCTACTGTAAGGGATCCTACTTCCCATGATCGTATAGGGGCCTTAAGACTTCGAATAGGGTTTCCTTTAAAGTGATCTATAAGGGCTGGTATAAGCGAGACCCCTACTTAAAGGATCATGGGACTTAGTAACTAGGGTTCCTTAAAAAGGCTCCTTCACAGGGATCTAGAGGGTTCCTTAAAGGGATCTAAAGGGTCTAGGGTCTACTAAGAGGATCATGGGACTTGGTAGCTAGGGTTATAATTAAGGTAACTGTACTTATAATGACTTATAACCCCACTTAAGGTACGTATAGCCATACTTACTAAGTCCCATGATCCTCCAAGTAATATAGGGGCCTTTCAGAATTAGAATTGGGTTTCCTTTAAAGGGGTCTATAAGGGCTACTACAAGGGATCTATATGGGTACTATAAAACAGGGCCGTAATGGTTAGAATAGGGTTTCGGGGTATATTATACGATAATATCAGAAGGAACCCCCAAAACAGCATTGGCAATGATTTTTAAACTCTAAACCCCAACTCCGGAAAATCCCTACCTTTAAGCACGAAATACAACACCCTCCACTCGAAACTCCGCAGCCCTAAACCCTGAACCCTACTTCCCAAACAACTGAACCCGCAACCCTCAAAGAAACCAGGCAGCTCTGCAATCCGACCTTGACGGTCTCTAGTTGCTCCTCGTGCTGAACAACTAAGCTATGGCTACGTTGATTAGTGATGCGTCTTGGTGGAACTGTCACAGCAACAGTAGTGATGCTTTCAGCTTTCTCCAGCACAGTACAAACCACGAGAACAGTTACGGCAACATCTATATTTAGGTAAACATCTAGCAGCTCAAGTAGACGAAAACACGCAACACAAACAAACCTACCTACACGACATGCATACTCCCATGCATGCGTACATCTACGCATGCATACATGCATGCAACCATACACGCACGACGTGCAAAGCTGCATACATCCGCACATTCATTCATGTGTACATCCACACAGGCATACATGCATGCGTACATGCATACGTACGTGCTTGACAAAGGGAAAGAGACCGTCAATAGAGCCTGCCGCTGTTTCTAGGACTCGCGGAATGTCTTTTGAAGGGCCAGAGCCCGACCACATGGATCAGAGATCTAACGGCTGAGAAACCCTAAACCCTATACCCTAGACCCTAAACCCTAAACCCAAAACCCTAAGCCCTAAACCCGATACCCTTAACCCTAAGCCCCAAACCCTAAACCCTAAACCGTGGCAGGGAGTCACGAAGTCAATTCTGCGCGACGGTCAGGGTATTGGTTGTTGGATCCAAATCGGGTCTGCGAATCTGATTAGCGTTGAAGCCTTAGGAAGCATTTAAACATCAAGCAAGAGCCGTTAAAGCTTGCTATAAGTTAAGCCAATCAAATGAAAACCTCCCTCCGATCCTGGAAGGCTGTTGCAATGTTCTTCGCATGGGCGCATTCACCAAGCGCATCCTGGCGATTCACTTCGGAAGTGTGACTTAACCAAAGCATCGGGCTTCAGGGTTTAGAGTCGAATACTCAAAGCTTGCAGAAGGGTTCAAGATGGATTTGTTAGACTCAGGTCCCTCACTTAAGGGCTCGATGGTAGGGATCCTTCTGTTTACAGTCTACATACTGTTGCGAAACTCCCCATTAGCTTGGGCCATTACGACGCTCGGCCAAGCAACTTCAAGGGCAAACCCTTCAAACTATCCTTGAATACTACCTTAATCTCCAAACGCCAGCAACTACTCGCGGTTTCCATGTTAAGACTTCGGATGTAGGATATGACGTTGGACGAGTGGCACACTAGTGTGTTGCAGTTTTCCGTGTGCCCTCATTAGACAGTTGCACTGTTGTACATAACTCGTACTTCTGGACATGTGCTGATGATAGAGTTTCGTCTCTTCTGCTTGTCCAGCTACTGAAGAAGACCTGCCATGGTATCATCAACAACTCCGGAATCGAACACACCTGCTGTGACTGCCGTACCCAGGTGGTTTGTGCATAACTCGTTCTATCTGTATTCAGGCTGGTATGGCAACTTCTTCTCCTGTGAAAGTACGAAGTACAACTCCTTCTGTTCGGAAATTCTGACCTTCCAGGGAATTGCAGTATTCCATGCATGACCCGTTCCGAGGAAGCATGAAATCATCCTGCACAATACGGAGCGTTTCACTTCTGGTCATCTATAGCCAATAAGGTGGTAAGGTTCGGAAATTCATGAATAACAGCAACTTAGCACATACGGAAGCATGAAGTAGTGCTCTCCCACACATCCGGCCCTTGCTTGACAGCTGTCTGATGAAACGCCTCTTCTAGCTACAAGTTCGCTAGGCTTCTCAGGTTGGATGGCATTCTCGGGTTCTCAGGTAATGGAAGTGTCCATGACAACGGCTCTAGATGACCAGCACATCCAAGACGTGATGAATGCAAAATACAAGCTGAGAAGTACTGAAGTGTAACGATGAAGAATTCACGGAACCTGCAGGTGGCCCGTAAACCTTTTCCAACACTTTCTGCGCCGAGAGGCTTTTTGAATGTTCAAGGAAGGTGATGTTATAAGCTTGCGGCTCCCGTTGCTGCTTTCTGGTTTGGACAGTGTGATAGTTCCCAAGTGACCCAAGTTATAACTAGCAATGGGTGCTTAGAAAAACAGTAATACTAACTGTAAGCATAAGCATGCGACAGTCAGAATCAGCATCGTCACCGTCGTCAACGCCATCATCAGAATAATGACTTTTGCGGTGAAGAGCATTGGAAATCGGCTGCTCCGTAGCAGGACCGCAGACACACACCCTAAACTAAAGACATATGAAACCTCCGACATCCGGAAATCTGGGAGTGCTTTGTTTACGGGTCTCTGCATAGTTCTGCAAATCCTGTGCAGGGGCGATTATTATTCAAAAACCTCTGCATAGCCCCTTACGGACTCATTAAACAAAACCTCAAGATTTGAAAACCCTATAATACTCTACAAAATCCCTTCTGAAACCTGTGCAAAAGAAAACATAAGCCCCTGCTGAGACCCCATAAGAAGCCCTGTACAACCGCCTCGAGCACCGAGGGCAGGTCGCGCAGATTTTTCAGGACGTCCCCCTCCTCGAAACGGCTCAGGGCTTGGGGTTTAGAGCCAGTTAAGGGGGTAGGTTTGGGGGTTAAAGGGCTTCTACCCCAGCGTTGTTGAGTCTATCGACATGCCAACAACTACATTCACGAGCAAACTCCTACACTACACGTGGTTTGAACACGTCTTTTTCCAAGTCTACCCAACTCTCCGGTTCGACCCCTTGCCCTTGTCACCATCTCTGCTTTCACACGAACCCAATCCTGCCTCGCCGGCATTCAAGTCCAGCAGCAGGCTCTCGTCGAAATCGTCGGTCTGCGTTTGCACGGCAGCTGTTGGGTTGTGCACACTAAAGAACAGGTCCTGCAAGATTGTGGAATCCGCCATTGAAGGGCTGTGGGCCCCAGGATTCGAACTTTTACAACTCGGTTAGACGGGAGTCTAACCCCGTGGGCCTGCGGGTTTCGGGTCCCTCAGGGATTGGATTGCGCTGATCTGGCGTTGAGTTACCTCCTGTTGAACAACCGCGCTGAGGCTGCGTTTTTCTGCCAAGGCCACCGCTCTGGGCAAGCTCGAACCCTCGAAGAGCTGACGACTGCAGGTCTGTACACTGTACAAAGCAAGATGCTCCTCTGCAGCGTCAGCCCATGAAGGATAAGTCGAATAAGTGTAACTGAGTCATGTAGATCAAACAGAGCGGAGCTCTTTGCAGTCCCGTGCTTCAAGGCAATGGAGCTTCTATCAAACCTGTGAAAACCTTAGTGTGCCCTTTCATCAAGTAACGAACCCCACGGAACCTTGCTTCACCGGAAATGGGGTTGAAAGACGTGTGCCATCACAGCGGGCATGTGTCCATCCGAAGCTGCTCCTTGGCAGGGGCAAACATGCTAACCCTAACGGTCGAAAGTCAAGAAGGCTCTGACATTCCAAGGGCAAAAGGAGGGACACTTAATAAGGACCCCTAGGTAAGATACCCTTAATAAAGACATCATATACCCATTATATAGCCCATTATAAGCGAAGGGTCCCCATTAAGGGTCCCTCCTTTTCCCCTTTGGTTTAGATTGCAGACTGTAAACCCAACTATCTCATGTCGCTCCAGACAGGTACTCACCTACACCTTAGCATTTGCATAGATGCTTTATGACCGTAAACCCTGCACCCCAAGACTGGACATTTTTCACAATCCCGGGGGGCGCCTGAACAAGCTGAAACTTCCGCAGCTTTTTGTGTCCTCCCCGGAGTGTCTCCGCCACATGGTACCCCCTGCGTCAATTGTTCCAGGCACAGCCGTGGCTTTCACGGTAAGGTCTTTCCCGTAAGGTTTAGGGTCCGCCGCCGACAATCCTACCCCATGAATCCTGACTCACACCCACTCCAAAACTCTGCACCCCCGTAAACCTCAAGCTCCCCTAACTTACCATTCTACCCACTTAGCTCGGGGCTTGGAATGGGGTTTCGGGATATTTTTGGGGTATCTTATGCTCCACTTGTAACCAGGAACCACAAATATTCATGAAATATATAATATGATATGAATAATTTGTATTCTGTGTAGTTAGTCATCGAATACCTAAACCCTAAACCCTAAACGCGAAACCCTAAACCCGAAGCCCCTACACCCCTAAACCACAAACCCTAAACTCCAAACCGTAAACCCGAAACCCTAAACCCGAAACCCCGACAGCCCTAAACCCTAAACGGCCCTAAACCCCAAACCCTAAACTCGAAACCCCGAACCCTGAGCCAATCCCTGCAGCAGACAAACCTCCAGACACTCCGCAGGTGGCCTTGGGTTTATCTTCGGGTAATATCGGGGCCTTAGGACTTGGAATAGGGTGTTCCCCTTTAAAGGGTTCCCTTTCAAGGGTTCCCTTTAAAGGGCTACTATAAGGACTGCTATGAGGGTTTAGTATAGCTAACATAGGGGCCTTAATAATTAGAACAAGTTTCCCCCTTAAGGGAGTCTAGACAAGGGCTACTATGGATCTATAAGTTTACTGTAGTGTAGGGGATAATTAGAATAGTGTTTTGGGTTCGACCATACTATAACCAAAAGAAAATTATTGAAGCCCCTAGAGCAGTGCAACCTGAAAATCTCTGTAAGACCGTATCATCAGCCTGTAAGCTGAGGGCATCCGCCGCGCCATCCTGGCTGAGTTGGCTACTCCACCCGTCCGCAGAATGAGAAAGAGGATTCTCGTACTTCCATAACCAAAAAGACGGTGAAGGCTCGCATCAGGAAATCTCGACACTGCAACACTCCCTCAAACCCACACTTTATCTCAGCAAAACTGCAAAAGTCTCTCAGTCCGGAACCGGTGAAGCATATACGCCACGATAGCGAGTAGCAATCAAGAAGCAAGCAGCAGCAACAGCAGCAGCAACAGCAGCAGCAACAATAGCAGCAACAGCAGCAGCAACAGCAGCAGCAACAGCAGCAGCAACAGCAGCAACAGCAGCAGCAGCTGTAGCGGCAACAGCACCAGAAATTGCACCTGCACCAGCAACAGCAGTAGAAGCAACAGCACAGCAATCGCAAGAGAAAAAACAACACAACAACAGTTGCTAACAAAAGGAGCACTGACTGTAAAACATGGAAGTGGCGAGTGAGAGCATCCTCCCTTTTAACTTTTGGCTGCCTTGCCGAGTACGAGTGCCCACGGACGCCGTTGGCCACCGGGACGCGCCGGAAGCGCCGGCCGTCGCGAGTCTTCTCCCTGAGGAGTCGCACGGTTCGCCCGTGATCTTGTTCCTATGTGCAATCTACGCCTGTTTGGGAAACTCCCAAGCAGTATATGCTTTGGCCGTAATTTTAATCGTAAATCTAATGGCACTGAAAGCCCTAAACACACCCATACCACCGCAACTACCACTGCTACTGCCACGACCACGACTAGTCAACCCCGACGCCGACGTTCCTGCTACTACTACCTAAACCCCTGGTCTAATTTATCAGGCGGCCCCTGTACACCCTCAACCCTAAACCCTAAGCACTCTCAAAGCTCTGTCGCCAAGCATCCACTTGCGATTCCGGGTCTTGACGTCGTGGGCCCACTCCCCGAAACCGGTGTAGAGCCTGGTCGGAGGACTTGCGGCTCTTTGGGATGTAAGGCTTCTACAACAGCTTCACAAAGGGATCTACGGAGGGTGCATTTAAGGGCTCTGTGGGGACTTGCAAGCATTCTATCGGGGGTGGATTAGTGCACTGTTTGGGTTCTACAAAGGATGTTGGAGACCTCTCCACAAAGCTTCCAAGGTTGAGGCTTTACGGTTAGGGTTTAGGATGCAGGGGTGTAGTCGAGGGTCGACTATAACCAGGTTTGATACCCGGGCGACTTGCAGATATGTCTGTTCAGGGTGCTGTCGAAGGGTCTCAGGGCTTAGGATGCGACCAAGCAACTCAGGACAGCAGCACGGGCAATCGCACATGTAGTCATCCTGTGCGATGCTTCGCTGCCACGCCAGGGCAACGGGAAACCAAACAACACACTCATCGAGGGTACAACGGAGCAGAGACCACTACGGTAGGGCCCCATGATTTAGCTGCTTGCTACTGCAACTTACCAAAGTGCTACAACTCCCACACATCATCAGTGGCACTCACAAGCAGCAGACATCCGTGGGCGGGCAGAGGGCAAGAAGGTGGCTACTCAGCTACTCCTTACACTGATCGCTGGCCTGCACTTCGGTATTGTGGACAAGGAAGCTATAGTGTGTGCAACTCCAGTGCACCGCAGAGGATCGACAAGTCACTGGTATTTACAGAAGCAGAATACACGCAGCATCATCATCATGCAGTCAAAACTCAAAACCCTTGTTCATGCGTCGCCTCCGCAGTACGTCAGATAGAAATATTATATTGTACTATATGATATTTGTTAACCATGTCATATTACATTATGTATCATTATGTCGTATCATATCATGTAATACAGTGGTTTATATAAAACTATACTTCTATATAACAGCTCCGCACCAACAGCACACAAGTCCCAAGCACGAAGACGACGACGCGACAAATAGGGGGCTCAGAACACCGAAAGCTCACACGCCCAGAATCCGAACATGGCGAACACAACATAGCCCAACAAATTTGAAGAGCCTCAACATCTTGAATCACTACATGCCTCGAAGCAATGATCAAACCCTACACCTGAAGCCCGAAAGTGTCAACCCCATGGCAAAATCCTCATCCCAACTCGACCCCTGTCTCCTGGCTACCAATGTCCATGTAACTCATGTAACTCTGCACGTCGCAGTCGTCGAAGCCCGGCATGCAGCGGGGTTCGGGCTCCTTCTTCTTCTCCTGGCCTCGAGTCAGGGCCGGGATGGAGATCAGGGGGTCCCTTCTTGAAAAGTAGGGGTCCTTATAATAAGGGTCCTACTATTTTGGGTGCTATATTAGGGTCCTTTTTGGGTTTAGTTTTCGGGCTTCGCTAGACTCATTAAGGTTTTGTCAAGGAACCTCCTGTTCCTACCTACGAGAAGGTCCGGTCCAGACGTGAAAGATGTTCGAGCAGCACTACAGAGCTGAAGATCTGCATCTAAAGGGGGCCTTAAGAACTGGAATAGGACAGAACGGGGTTTTGGGGTGTATTCTGTGAGTTATACCTAAATATAATAAGGAACCCTAAACATGGTATATAATCAGGAACCCTAAACATGGTATACATAATAAGGAACCCTAAACATGGTATGTATAATAAGGAACCCTAAACATGGTATATATAATAAGGAACCCTAAACATGGTATAATATAATAAGGAACCCTAAACATGGTATAGGTATTTAGTTGTTTAGACCCTATATTTTTATGGAGCAACGTGCCAGTGTAGGCCTTGGGCTTGAAAATCGGGTGGAGCGGTTCAGCTACTTGGAGGCTCATGGGATTTAGTAAGTAAGCTTATGAATACCCTAAGTGGGGATACAAGTAAGTATAAGTACAGTTACCTTAAGTATAACCCTAGTTACTAAGTCCCATGATCCTTTAAGTAGGCCTGGGGTTCAAAAGGGAGATCAACTCAAGATGACTCGCCGGGAGCGCCCAGCCACAAGTAACACACAAGTGTCCCAATCCCTGAGACGCATTTCACATGAGATGGTGACACAAAATCCTGCTTAAACGCACAATTCAAAATTTGAAAGGCACCACATAGTGCATGAGGGACAAACCATCTGACCAATAGAATTACATCACTGAGCCGTTCGACAGGGCGAACTTGCCATTTGCCGGGGCTGTTGTGGCCCCAGCACACACTAGGTTCTAGCTACCCCCGATCATCCCTCATTCAGCTCTCTCTTTGCCGGTCACGACTTTGAGGAAGATCTTCGTGATGGACACGAACCAGATGCAGGATAGAACGAAGAGGCCAAGAACAGAAACTCCGTTCATGAGCGCGAAGTGCATTGGAACATGGGCAGGTAAGCCACGGTAAAGATCGCCACAATAGACGAGGATCAAGGCGAAGACAAAGCAAATTCGCACGGCGATCCAACACACCCAGCAGCTGCTAACTGCCAGCTTGTACAGTGGCTCCTTCGTCCAGCCGGCTTCCTTCATCATCCGCGTGGCGACTAGGCACGGCGTAGTGATCTCCATGAGAATGACTGCACATCCCCAGAATGTGGCCGTGCGTAGTGTGAGCCAATGCAGGCAGATCACCAGCGTCACCAAGTGGTGCAGCCAAAAGGCCACGCCCTTGCCATAGGCGGCGTAGAAGACCTAGTAATGAAAGGACACAGGAAAAGGAGCAGTAGCAAAAGGGGACTACAGCGCACTACCCACATCACCACTCAGAATACCCCAGCACTCAGGTCCGGACCAACTCGTAGAGGTTGAAGCCGACGAAGACACGGCCTGCCCACTCACCCGTCGTGGCAGGCCCTGAAGCCACGTTCGCCCAGCGAACTTCCGGGTCCGTGAAGCCGTCGCTGCACAGGAAAACCGCGCTCAGAGTGACCATGGTGGGGGGAGCCACGAACAGCATCAGCCGGTTCGCCATCTGCTGCTGCTCCTTCGGGTCCATGTCGCGTGCATGTGGCCAGAATACCAGCAGCCGTCGCAACAACGTGTGCTGCAGCATCATGGCACCTGTCATGCCGGCGACATCGACCGCAAGCATTGCTGGATCGCTTGGGAATTTATGAGACCTGCCTGTCGGCTCGTGCTTGCATCCTCTCTTCTACAACCCTGATGCTGCGAAGAACTTGCTTGGAGTTCCTGTGCTAGGTAACCTATAAACTGCCATAAACCACTCGCAGCAATACAGCGCGAGCAATGAACTCTAAATGCCGAGACTTCAACCAACTGGACATGCAAGCTCCGCAGCATGCTGAACCAGAACTAGCGGCATGGGGTCGCAAAGCTTTCGCTTCATCCCGAATCACTCAAGAAAAATGCACGCCAAACTGAAGTCCCAGAGCTCAAATCCCAAATGCGCGGCTGCTGCAACAAACCGCAGTTCAAGGCCAAGCAAGAATCCAGGAACCCGTGGAGTGCGTGCCACTGGTGTTGCAGTGTGCTCCAATGCATCACCGCCGCTGTCATCATGTTCTTCCACAGTCGTCAAACATAAACGTGGTACCCATCATCACCATCATCATCAATCGCCACGACCATCATCATCATCATCATCATCATTATCATCATCGTCGTCATGATCCTATCATCAATCGCCACGACCATCATCATCATCATTATCATCATCGTCGTCATCATCCTATCATCATCATTATCATCATCGTCATCACCCTACAAGTACAGTGGGCTGGAATTAGCTCAAGGACCCGAATGCTGGTGTACGTGTCACTACTTGGCATGTTCTGAATATTGGCATTAGACCATTTGTGATTGTTGCCATTCAAATCGGATGCGATCGTCGCTGTAATTGTCCTTGTGGTAGTGAAGTGCAGGCTGCCACTAGTTATGGCTACACTCATTCCTATCTGATTAAGCCCTTCTCCACATTGAGCGGCAGACTGAGCTTGAAGGAGAGAATACGAGACCGGGCATTCGTGAAATCCTGGCTCGCAGTCCTCAGCAGGGTTTAGGGTTTAGGGTGTAAGGTTTTGGGTTTCGGGGTTTAGAGTTTAGGGTGTAGGACATCCCATGGCAGATGTAGGATGAAATGGCTTCACTACAATCAGCTCGATTGCATCAAAGATAGATGGGTGCGGTCACCTGGTGAAGAAAGGTGAATTCTACAACCAAGACAAATCCAGCAATATGGGGGGGCTGGAATAATGACTAAAGGTATTCTCTGATAGCCCCTAATATACGTATAGTATAATATCCCCGAAAACCCACTTCATATCAAATCATTAAGGCCAGTTTATTACAGACCTGATGCTGCACAAACCCACCGATGGCCCTGGGTTGGGGGAGAAAAACTTCGGCATGAAAGAAGAATACTTGAAGGATCATGGGACTCAGTAACTAGGATTATAATTAAAGTAACTATACTGAAAACTACTTAAATCCCCACTTAGGGTACTTATAACCTTACTTACTAAGTCCCATGATCCTCCAAGTAGCTTCTGGAGTCCTGATACCAAAAGCGTGAGGGCGCAATGCACTATCCTGCGTCTTCGCCGGCTACCCAGTGAAACATGAGGGCCAAATACCCTCGGGCTGCCAGTATCGCTACTGTAAGTATCCGCTTTGCCCTGCACTTGAACTTGAAAGGACAACAGGGCCTGAATAATTCGAACAGGGCTTTGGGGCCCATTCTACTATAAAATAGTATTGGTAATTATTTAGGCCCCTATCTGGGCAGCCAGGCAAGTCTTCCTGCCCAACTAGCAACCCTCCACTGCCGACCCTGCGCCCTCGACCTGAAAAAGACTACACCCAGTGTAATCCCCATGTCAAAGCCGTATAAATATCATGGAACCCTATGAAAACCTCATATGGCTTTTCCGTATAAAAAAGCTATAGACCCCTTACAGAGCTCTATAACCTTCCATAACCCTTAACCCTAAACTCCTAAACCCCTAAACGCTAAACTCCTAAACTCCTAAACCCCAAAACCCCCAACTCCTAAACCCTAAACCCTGCAAACTTCAGGCAGCCGGAGCACTTCGCGCTCGTCGGGATCTCGAGGCCGAAGGTCAGAAAAGCATAGGGCCAACCCGCCCAGAGATCCGGGCCTCGACTTGCGGGGGGAGGGGGGGGGGGGGTGTTCAAGGATGTTGAGGGTTAGAGGGTTTAGGGTCAAGGATGCTTAGGGTTTAGGGTTACGGATCTTTAGGGCCAGGGGCTTAGGGTAAAGGATCCTTAGAGCTTGGGGAGCTCCGGGTGCTTCTATTGGGTTTTCGGTGTTTAAGGGTTTTTGTTTTGAGCGCCCTTTTCCTCCCTGCTACAGTCGGAATACTTGTTGTTAAGGTTTAGGGTTTAGGGTATGAATGGGGGTAGGGTTTAGAGCTTTCACAAGAACTGCGGCTTTGTGGCAAGGCTTTCATGGAGCTTAGTAGCCTTTCAGCTCAGCTGGTGCGCATCACAGGCAACAGTAATTAGTTGCAGAATCCGCCGGATGGCGCGCATCATGAGCATCAGCTGCGATTGTCCCTGGCGATTACTCTCGGCTGGTGTGCATCACAAGGCATCACCACCCAGTTGCAAAATCCATCGGATGGGCGAGCATCATGAGCGCCAGCTGCAACTGCCTTTAGCGACTGCTTCCGCCTGGTGGTGTTCATCAGTATCTTCAGCTATCCTTCTCTCTACCGAATGGGCGAGCATGCCAAGCGTCAGCTGCGACTGCAGTCCCGCTTGGTCCCCTAGCGCTAACTTCAGCGGGTGCGCATCACAGGAATCAGCAGCTGGTTGCAGAATCCACCGGATGGGCGAGAATCATAAGCACCATCTGCAACTGCCTTCAGCGACTGCTCCCGCTTGGTGTACGTACGTGCATCAAGACCTTCAGCTGCCCTTCTCTCGACCGAATGGGTGAGCATCATGAGCATCAGCTGCGATGGTCCCTAGCGACTACTCTCAGCTGGTGCGCATCACAGGAATCAGCGGCTAGTTGCAGAATCCGCCGGATGGGCGAGCATCATGAGCATCAGCTGCGATGGTCCCCAGCGACTCCTCTCAGCTGGTGTGCATCACAAGGCATCAGCAGCTAGTTGCAAAATCCGCCGGATGGGCGAGCATCATGAGCATCAGCTGCAACTGTCTTCAGCGACGACTCCTTCGTGGGGTGCGCACATCAAGACCTTCAACTACCCTTCTCTCGACCGAATGGTCGAGCATCAAGAGCAGCGGTTGCGATTGTCCCTAGCGATCAGGGGGCTGGTACACATCACAGGCATCAGCAGCTAGTCGCAGAATCCACCGGACGCGCGAGAATCATGAGCATCAGCTGCGATTGTCCGTAGCGATTGCTCTCAGCTGGTGCGCCTCACAAGGAGACATCTCCTGGTTACAGAATCAACCGGTATCTTCAGCTGCTTTTCTCTCTACCGAACGGACGAGAGCATCAGCTGCGATTGCTCCTAGCGATTACCTGGGTTGCAGACTCCACCGGACGAGCGAGCATCATGAGCATCAGCTGCAACTGCCTTCAGCGACTACTCCCGCTTGGTCCACATCAAGACCTGCAGCGATCCTTCTTTCGACCGAATGTGAGAACGTCATGAGCATCAGCTGCGATTGTCCAGAAGGATTACTCACATGTGGTGCGATTCGCAGGAAACAGCGGCTAGTTGCAAAATCCACCGGATGGGCGAGCATCATGAGCATCAGCTGCGACTGTCTTCAGCGACTACTCCCGCTTGGTGTGCCTACATCAAAACCTTCAGCTGCCCATCTTTCGACAGAATGGGCCAGCATCATGAGCATCAGCTGCGATTGTCCATAACGATTACTCTCAGCTGGTGCGCATCACAGGCAACAGTAGCTAGTTGCAGAATCCATCGGATGGGCGAGCATCATGAGCATCAGCTGCGATGGTCCCTAGCGACTACTCTCAGCTGGTGCGCATCACAGGAATCAGCGGCTAGTTGCAGAATCCGCCGGATGGGCGAGCATCATGAGCATCAGCCACGATGGTCCCTAGCGACTACTCTCAGCTGGTGCGCATCACAGGAATCAGCAGCTAGTTGCAAAATCCGCCGGATGGGCGAGCATCATGAGCATCAGCTGCAACTGCCGTCAGCGACGACTCCCGCTTGGTGCACATCAAGACCTTCAGCTGCCCATCTTTCGACCGAATGGGCCAGCATCATGAGCATCAGCTGCGATTGTCCGTAACCGATTACTCTCAGCTGGTGCGCATCACGGGGCATCACCACCCAGTTGCAAAATCCACCGGATGGGCGTGCGTCAGCTGCAACTGCTTTCAGCGGCTGCTCCCACCTGGTGTTCGTGCACCAGAACCTTCAGCGGCCATTCTCTCTACCGAATGGGCGAGCATCATGAGCATCAGCTGCATTGTCCTCAGCGATGACTCTCAGCTGCTGCAACTGCCTTCGGCGATTTCTCCAACTTGGTTCAGCGATCAGCATCAAGCTGCTATTGTCCCGACCGGTTACTCTCAGCTGGTGCGCATCACTGGCATCAGCGGCTACTCGGCGAATCCACTGGATGTGCGAGCATCACCTGCAACTGCCTTCAGCCTTCAGCGACTACTCCCGCTTGGTGTACAGATGAGAACCTTCAGCGTCCTTCTCTCCATCGACTGGGCGAGCATCATGAACATCAGCTGCGATTGTCCCGTGTGGTTGCTTTCGGCCCACTGCGTGTCACTGGCATCAGCGGCTAGTTGGAGAGTCAGCTGCATGGACAAACATCATGAGCATCAGCTGCGATTGTCCCTAGCGATCACTCTCTGTGAAGTAGAGTAAGAGAAGGAAAAGCCGTACTGGTACTAGTACTCCCACTCCTACTCCCACTCCTACCACCACAACCAACACCACCACCACGACTACTACTGCTGCTGCCGCTGCTACTACTCCTACTACTACTGCTACCACTGCTACTACTGCTACTGCCACTTCTGCTGCTACTACTACGATTACTGCCACTACTAGTACGACTTCTACGACAACAGCGACTCTACGGCTGCCCCGATTGCTACTGCTGCTACTTCTCCTGCTACCGCTACTGCTACTCCTGCTCCTC